ATATAATTGCAATGCACAATTTCTCGTTAAGCGTTTTCCATAGAAAACCATTATAACGATGGCGCTTAGCCATTTAGTCATTGCATTCATAATCATATATTTTGCCCTCCAGGTCTAAGAAACTATTTCATGAGCGATTCCACTCATGTTGGTCGTGTGAAATTTCCGCGCTGACCAAAAGAAAGCTGCTTGGTTTGAAAATGACTTTGTGTGAGTAGTGATCTCTATGGTATTGACAATGCACCGTCATTATTACAAGCATCACTCACCATTGTCTTCTTCCTATCTCAGCACTGCAGTTTGTAGAGACAGTAGAATTATTTGAGATAAAAGCTTGTGCACAGATGTGTGCTGACATTACACATGATGTTGGCTTAATTTACAGTATCTGCTTCCCTGAAACGTCACACTGCCAGTTTTGCAGCTCACACATTGTGATTGTACCTGCTGGCACAGTGATGCTCTTTTCCCCTGCTGCGGGTTGAGCTGTATTTGGCATGTTGGAGTCACTGCACAGCAGCTAATGAGACCACACAAGCTGTCCTCTATTAACTGAAAGGACCTCACTCCAGACTGACACAAACGTGTATGTATGAGTGATGCACAAGGGCGGCTGTCAGCCTGGATGTGTCTGACTGCATGCAAGCTAATACGGAACCAACGCTCATAATGGTAAACACAGCCATATGAGCAGAATCAAGAATCAGAATCTTTTGAATGCACCTGTTTGAAACGGTTTTAACATGCATGTTTGATTATATCCGTGCTACATGTATGCTCAGAATCTCTGAATTTATGTCTGCTGTACAGTGTCTTATCTCTGTCTCTGGACACATGTGGTTATCCATCATCGCAAACAGCCCGTAATCTTCCTCGGATTTCTCAGCTTGAGAGGTCTGAGACAGACAGAGGTAGAAATCTTTTTCATCTGTCTAGAAGGTTCGATGTACAGCAGGATCCTTGTCGCTTTTCTTGGGGAAGGTGCAATTTGTGTGCATTACAGTAGAATCCGATTGCGAACAGAAGCTCAGAGATTTAGATTTAGCCCACATAAAAATAAAAAAAAGCAAAAAAAAATAAAAACAACGGACATCTCCTTGAAAGCAATGAGATTGAATGAGACTTTTGCTTAGATCTGCTTCCTCCTGAGAAAAAAAAACTACAATAAATATTAAAAATAAATATTAAATAAATAGAATAATATTAAATATAAATTATAGCTGAAAAGTTTATGTATGTTAAAAAAGTAGTGTCTTGGTGAAAAGAGACTTCTTTCAAAAAAAAAAAATCAGGAATTTTTCACATGTCACTTTTGATCAATTGAATCATTACTCAATAAAATTATAATTTAAGAAAAAATATCACGACCCCAATCTTTTGAATGGTGGTATATTTTTGGACAATATTTTAATTTTAAAATGATTTAATTTTGTAGATCTTTAATATAGCTCATAATAGTTTGTCTATTTGTCTAATTTGTGACTTTTTATTTCTAATTAGAAAAACATTGAAAAGAAACATTCTTCATCTAAGCTATGGGAGAGTTATTTTCCTGTGAAATTCCCCCTTCACATCAGTGTACTGTAAATGTGTTTGTATCCTGCTGTATTACCTTTCCATCTGACTCCGGTCAGCAGTCAATAATCATTTGATTTCTTAATTCATGTGCTTTTCACAAGCCTGCTGCTTACGTGCACAAATTCCTTTCATGCTTGTGGAATCCGCACGTTTTGAAGGGCAGTTAAAGCTGAAATATTTGCTGGATTTGTGGCTTGTTTACCTTTAAGCGAGCTAATACGCTGCAGATTGAAAACACAAAGCCGACATCAAGAGAGAAAATCCAGCATGGCTTTTGATCTGGACTGCTTCAGGGGGAGGAGAGGCTCTAAGACACTCAACCCCGCCCACTCTCGAGTTCTAGCCAATAGGAATGGATCTGGAGGAGAGAGTGTGTGTGTGTGAGAGAGAGAGAGGGGAGAGGAGGTGGTAGAGTGGCAGTCTTTGCTTGTGTGTAGGGAGCGGTCAATCTCTCACAGTGCTGCAGTCTGCGAGCATCCTCAAGAGTGAGACTCTCTTTTTATTCTCTCATTCATTCATTCTTTCACTTATCCTTTATCCATCCTCTCTTCCAGCCACTCACCTTTTCAGTTTCTCCACTGTGTTGCTGATTTCGTTCAGTTTAAGTGAGAGTTTACTTGCAAGCACATGTGTGTGTGCGTTTGTTAAGCGTGTTTGTGTGGGGTCTTTGGGGTTTGATTTGGTTTAGATGAGGTTATATGTATGTTATACTTTTGAAAAGTGCAATTTATTTTTTAAACCGTGCATGCGAGTGCATATTTTGCCATTGTCCTGCCTAAAGCGACAACTTCCCTGGCGAATAGTCCTCAAGGTATGAACTTTTTTCAATCTTTTTATATTAAACAAATCTAAAATTTCTAACTGTGTTCCAAAAACATCTCCTGAAGGTTTGTGTGCTCAGCAGTCTCTTTTCATTTGAGTGGATTTGTTCGGGATGAGTGCGTCCCTCACTGCGGGATTGTTTTGGGTTCTCTACTTTATCCTTCGTCTGAGCTTTGCACCACTCCGAGACTCTTTCATCTTTTTCTCTCTCTTTCCTTCTGCATTTTTCTCTGGAGAAGATGCATCTCTTTGCGTCATTTTTATTGTTTAGAGGATTCTCGGTCTTCTTAAATAACATTGAGGCCATCAGAGAAAGAGGTAGAGCTTAGTTTCCGAAGGTGGGAGTTTGAATGTGAATAAATCCTGTATATTTCATTGGGAGGGAATGTGGAAATATGTGAGTGCATGTCTTTTCTTAAACTGCTTTTACAGCACATCACCGATTGTATCATCACCATAATTGTCCTTGATCTTCTGCTAGCCTGCAGACTAATGACAAAATTGACTCGTCATTTGACCTTTGAGTTCCTGCAAGGACAGACAGGCTCTCAAAACAGCCTTATTCCTCGGCTGAACCTTCGAAGACCCTTATGCTCATTTAAAACATCAGAAGCTGCTCAAATCACCTTGTTGATTAGTGGGTTAGTTTAGTCATTTACACAAGACATTTTTAGACCAATTAAATGGCTTAAAAACTTAAGATAAAACGAAAGGGACTGGATGAAAAAGTAACAGTAATCGTAACCAAACAGTAATAGAAACCAAATGAGCTGGAACGTTGCTCAGGTGTAGTAGGTATGTCTCCTCTAATGGTGTTCAAGCTGGGCTTTGGGGCATTGCTGAGTTCTCAGGTTCAGCACGTGTGTGTGTGTGTGTGTGTGTGTGTGTGTGTGTGTGTGTGTGTGTGTGTGTGTGTGTGTGTGTGTGTGTGTGTGTGTGTGTGTGTGTGTGTGTGTGTGTGTGTGTGTGTGTGTGTGTGTGTGTGTGTGTGTGTGTGTGTGTGTGTGTGTGTGTGTGTGTGTGTGTGTGTGTGTGTGTGTGTGTGTGCATTGGTCTCAGCAGTAGCAGTCAGAGCAGATGTAGTTCTCTGCTGAAACAGGGCTGAGGTGTGCAGCACCCTCAACAAACTGCCATGCCATGCACTAGATTACCTGCTGAACGAGCTTCAGTCTGTGTTAGGAGGGCAAATCTGTGCTTTAGAGCGCATGAGTCTGTGCCTTCCTAAAAAAAAACAATTAGATATTCCTTCTCTGAAATATTATTTTAGTAACACTTTACAATATGGTTTCATTTGTTAACATTAGTTGATCTATTAACTAACACTAACCTTGAGCTGTTACTGTATTTGTTCATCTTTGTAAAGGTTAGTTAATAAAAATACAGCTGTTCATTTTTTGTTCATGTTACTTCACAGTGCATTAACTAATGTTAAGAAATATAAGTAAATGTTGAAATTAACTTTAACATAGATTAACAAGTGCTGTAGAAGTGCTGTTCATTATTAGTTCATGTTACCTTATTGTAAAGTATTATTTTCTATGCACTACCGTTCAAAGGTTTGTGGTCGGCTCAATTTTGTAAAATGTTTTTGAAGTCTCTTATGCTTACCAAAGATGCATTTATTTTATCAAAATACAGTAAAAATAGTAATATTGTGAAATATTATTATAATTTAATATTACTTAAGATAGGTAAAGATAACTATTGTAATATATTTTGAAGTGTCATTTATTTCTAGGATGGCACAGGTGAATTTTCAGGTTACATCATGTGTCAAATGATTCTTCAGAAATCATTATTTTGGGCTCAAGTAATATTTCTTATTAATATTAATGTTGAAAGCGTTTTGCGGCTTAATATTTTTTGTGCACACATTTTTCAGGATTCTGTAATTAATAGAAATTTTGTAATATAAAAAATGTCTTTAATCAGTTTAATGTAGCCCTGCTGTTTAAAGTTGTAATTTCTTTCAAGCTAAATTTTTTTTCAATCTGTACTAGTGTTTATATATCATATATTTTTAAAGTTGAGTGGGATCTTATTATAGCTTTTTTATTTTTGCTTTTGTGTTTACGTAAGGCTTTAAAGCCCAAAAGAATAGGGGGTCTTAAAAAAGTACATAAATATGGAATAATATACAGTCAGCTGGTTATTATCTTGCAGAATGATGAATGTTTCAGTTCTGCAGAAATACGTGGAGATTCAGTATCAGTCTGCATATAACAAAGAGACTGAAGTGGGATGTTATCGGATATCATACATTTGCGCCACAGAAGATACATATGACATTACCAGCTCTCTCTCTCTCTCTCTTACTCTTTATTCTATCTTTCCTATATTGACTGTGTGACCTTGTGCTAGAAGTCAGCACAGAACAGCTACAGTGGCTGCTCATATCGATCGGAGCTGTCATCTCAGACACTAAAACAGCATTTCCCTCCTGATAACTTTTTATGAATTCTTTGGTTTGAGACTGTTTGTTTGCATGTGCTACGTTCTGTTCTAGATTTTAGAATTGCCATTGCATAGTTGGATGTTTGGTTTAAAGAAAAGATTTTTGCATCATGTTTATGCTTGCTTGGTTATGTTTGTGTTTACAGAATACGGGCGTTTCGAGGCCAAAATTCATGACTTACGAGAGCAGATGATGAACCACAGCATGAGTTCTGGATCCGGATCCCTCAGAACCAATCAGAAACGCTCACTCTATGTCAGGTAGACCTCATCTATTTAAACATACATGCACACACTTACTCAGAACTGCAAGAATTCATTTTCTTAGTATCTTTTTTTTCCTCTTGTTTTTCAGTAAATTATCTAAAAGAGAAAAAGTGCATATTTTCCTTAACCCATAGGCATTTTTTTTCTGTTTTAAAGCAAAAACTATAGCAAACATTTATATCTAAAACCACAACATTGAAAATTTTAATTACAATTATTTCAAGGTATTATCTTTGAAAACAAGTCTTATCTCACACCATTTATCTTCTCAAGACAGTTTATCCCATCGTTTACATATTTTTACTGAAAAACAAGATGAGACACAGATCAAGAAAATGTTTTTGTTGCAAATGGCTGTTTCTGTCATTACAGATGGGATACTGATATCCCAACAGCCTCCTGATCATGTAAAAGTGGCATTAACTGTCTCTCCATGGCACTCTTGTTATGTTGGACTGATGTAGGATTGATGTGAACATCAGTGTGGTCTCTATGGGCGATGAGACATGTTTCTAGCCTGAAGCAAGATATTTGTTAGACACACACACTTCAGGATTTGCGTGTGAACCAGCGGGGTATCTGAGTGAGTTGAGTCAGAATTCATCAGCGTCCACATTTCTTCTTACATACACACACACTGTGTGCTCTGATCCTAGATCCGCCAGGATTGGGGATCATGTGTTCACTACGCAGGAAGTCATACTGTTTTACATGACATTTAGAAGAGCTATTGATATTTAAAATCAGTAGGAAAGTGAGCAACAGTGATCCATTATAGAAACCTCTCTTTGCTCATGTCTTCTCTCATCTTAATTCAACATGTGTGTGTGTGTGTGACATCAACTGAAAAGGAAAGCTATTAGTATTTAGTTAGATAGTTTGTTAGTCAGTTTGGAATTTTTCGTTACAGTATAAAAGTAAATTGGGTACATTTTAATATCAAGTTTATGTAAATAATTTATCTTGATTTTGTTTGTCTATATTTCTGCATTATGCATTTCTCATTTGCAGACTTAATTCTCATAAATTAATCTTATTTTTTGCTTGTCCAATATTAATGATGTTTTTAGATTTAAATTTTTTATAATCAAAACTGGTAAAACCGTTTTACTGACTTCAGCTCAAGAAATTATTCAGAAGATAAACAGTATAATCAAAAGATCTGCGTGATATATTTCAGCCTCCAGGTTCACTCCAAACGTCCCATGCGTCAGCACTCTTTGGCTAGTTTGCCAAACAGCTGCTATGGTTCTCCCAGATATGTTTCACAATACAATCAGCAGAGCAGAGATTAGGTCTTCATTAGCTGGTAGCGACAAGCAGCTGTAGATCCCCGATTTGGCTTTTTTATTGTGTGTTAGCTGGAAAATTTCAGCGCACCTGTGGAGATCCATTGTGATAAATAGCTCTCCTGTCAGCAATTATACAAACACACCTCCTCTCCTCATGAGGTACAGCATGCACCACTCCCACAGCATTAAAATACGCTCAATATCTCCTTCCCAGCTGCAGTCTAATGCCGCAGGCCCCCTCTGTGGGTGCTGGATAATTGTATTGTGCCGTAGCCAGTCATTTGGGCCGAGGAACTGGCCGTGTTTGCAGAACACGGATGTTGGGAAGAGCTGAGACACAGGAAATGAGACCTTATAAGGAGTCATTTATTTGCTGCAGCACGGATCAGCTCACTACAGTCACCTGTTTTTTTTTAAGTATGTGGTTTTACTAATACTGTACTTTTTAAGACATTTATAGTATATGGTGGAAAATGTATGCGATTCAGCTAACCTAGAGTCCAAACCTGGAGTTCTATCCTTAGGACAGTGGATTTATCCATATAATAATAACAATAATACATTTTATTTATAATGCGCTTTTCTAAAACCCAAAGCGCTACAAACAATAAAACAAGTAAAAATACAGAAGTACGAATGTAATACAAAATAATCATTACAGTACACATCATTAAAATATTAATCATCAGTCTATGTAAGCAATTTTAAAAAGATGTGTTTTTAACAACTTCTTGAAACTGGCTAATGTGGGAGCATCTCTTACAGTAAGAGGAAGTGCATTCCATAACCTGGGTGCCGCGACAGAGAAGGCTCTCTCCCCCATCGATTTTAATCTACAGGGAGGTTGCTGAAGAGTAAGAGAGTCTGTAGACCGGAGGGAACGAGAAGGCGCGTACAGGCTGACTAAGTCACAGATATAAGAGGGAGCTATTTCGTGCATAGCTTTGTAAGTTAGTGTGAGAGTTTTAAAAGCAATACGTGACTGGACAGGTAGCCAATGCAAACTATAAAGCACACCTGTAATTTGGTGACGTGGTGAAGTGTGTGTCAGCACACGTGCTGCTGAATTCTGGATGTACTGCAGGCGTTTTATAGATTTGACAGGTAAACCAACAAAAAGTGCATTACAGTAATCAATCCTGGAAGTAACAAAAGCATGAATAAGCCTTTCAGCATCCGGTAGAGTAAGATAGGGCCTAATTTTTGCAATGTTTCTTTGGTGATGGAATGCAGATTTCGTAATACTCTTTATGTGAGAGTCTAGTGTTAGGTGGGCGTCAAAAATCACACCAAGGTTACGAGCACAAGAAGATGGAGATATATTTAGCCATGCAGCCATATTTATTTATTTATTTATTAATCTTTGTTCATTCGTATTTAATGATATATCTGTTATTATGTGTTTCTGGTCTCTCTGTATAATTATCATCAGAATACATAGTTGCAATAATGTTTTGTTTTCTAAAGTGCAATACTTCTTTTAGTGAATGATAGTGTTTGTCATTGATTTCATTTACTTGCCAAGGCAACATTTATAATTTTCATTTAAGTTTGAATATTTTCATTTAGTATCACCTTTTTTTTTTATTACCCAAAAATATTTTTTATATTTTAGTGAACAATAGCAACACTATTGCTGTTAAGCACCCATATTTACATTTGGTCATTTGGCTCATCCAGTAGTAATTTACAAATAGAAAACAGCCTGCAAATCTGAGGGTCAGACATAGTATTGACATTTTTTTTGGTGTACAAAGACCATATATATAAGTACACCATTACATTATAATATAATGTAAGTGTATCTGAAGGAAAGAAGCTTACATACTAGTATACTGTGTGCCTTTAGAATTCTGCAGTGAAGGGAGGAGATAGATGTGAGGCAGGAAAAACTGAGTCTCCACAAACCTCTGCTCAGTCTGTCGAGGGGAAAAGATAATTATGACAAAAGTATCATTTCCAGTTTGCCTTCGCTGAGCATTGAGATGCATTAAAGTTCATCTGAGATGAATGCAGAGGTGTGATCGCTGTTGGCTGTGTACTATGAATAGAAAGCACATGGCAATGTAAAAGCAATGCATGCATGATTCCATTCACACTGACTCAGTTAGGATCAGATGAGTCAGTTATTGAGTGATTTTCATCAATCAGCATGTTTCAGTGTTTCTGTCACAATGAATCAACATCACAATTTCTCTAATGTGGAAATGTGTTGTGTGTGTGTATTTGTGTGTGCGCTGCTTATTTCTCCACAAAGTGTTCTCTGTGTCCCTCTGCGGTAGCATTTACATGTAACCATAACAACACCCGTCCTTTCTGTGATCAGATAAAGAAATATACATCGCCTCATCCCGTTCATTATGCAAGAAAGTCCAGTGTGTGTGTGTGTGATTTGTCCAGTGCAAATGTCAATTTCAGAAAATAAATTGCAAAGTCGTTGTTTGTTTGATTTGATTTATTTTGTGAGAAGTTGGCTGTGTTGTGTCTATGGACTGCGACTGTGAGAGAGCTATATCGATTTTTATTCTTTTCTTTTTTTAAACACTGCAAATAATACCATGAATATTGATGTTATGTTTATGTGGTGTTGTTGTTTTTAGTTTAGTTATCCAGTTTATGTTTAGCAGGAAAGTATGCCCAAGGTTTTGTCCTGACCTAATATGTATGTATTTTTTTATAAACCAAGATTGCAAATGATCAATTCATTACTCTAGAAACTACTCGATACACTTTAACAACCAGATAGCAAGACCCTGACAACCACCATGAAGGTGCACACTTTTGACTTTTACCAGTAAGTGTCCATCCTAACATTGTGACGGAGACTTTTGCACTAACATACACCTCTCCCATTTCCTTTAGAAATTGTAAAAATGTAGTTATCACATAAAATCCCCAGTTGCTGCAGTGTATGTAATTCACTCTTGAGAATGTCAGCTAGGCTCCTGTTATTTCACTAGCCCAAGCTCTTATTGTCATGAGGCCGCTGATCTACACATATAGATAGCACTCTACTTTACTCTCAGGGGGCTTTTAAACCACATTTCTCTGTAACAAGCAAAAGCACCACATTATCTGCACCTTTGCCAGCACTCTGACACTTTCTGCTAGTTTGTGTGTTGTAGATGTAATGCTTTTTTCCCCCTTTTGCCATGCTGATGGCTTCAGCTTTTATCTCACTGCTTAGCAAATACTACACTAAAACATTTTTTCAAGGACTGAGGCAGCACTTACTCTTAACACATTATGTTACAGACATTTTCTGGTGTGAAAAAATGCTGTCCATGAGGTTCACCACCCATGGATGTTTCCTTTTCTGCTGAGCACTGAATATCACACACATACCTGGACTTTTTCTTTTGCTATTGCACAGAGATTCAGCCCTGCAGCTCTACTGCAAGACCCACACAATAAATCACAAGGCAAAACACTCAGGGGCGAATTCAGTTCACTAAACAGTTTCGGCACTTTTGCATGCAGTATTTCAGTGCACTAAGCCAGACTCAAACCAGTGTAGCTAAAATAATTTTCTTTATCTGAAATAAAATATAAATATTAGATAAAAAATGTAGAAATTAGATATTTAAAGTACTAATGACAAATAAAAAATGTGCGCGTGTGGGTGTGAATATAAAAAGGTAAATAGAAATAGAAAAAACAACAGACACAAAACAGCGCAAATCAAAATGACTAAAACTAAAGTTAAAATGAAAAGTGAAAATCTAAAAATAAAAGCTTATTCAAAATATTAATAAATACTATAATAGTATATAAATAATACTAAAATGTCATTGACTTGAACTTGAGCATCATCCACATGAACAGCAGAATAAATGAGCACTAAGCCTCAGCTCTGGTAATACAGAATGTTTTAGTTCTTTCATTAGGTAGTTTATAAATCCATTTCACCGCTGAATTATTTACAGACATGATTTTGTTCTATTTATTATCGTGAGGGCACATAATGCTCCGCAGTGAGCATTATTCAGTATGTGTAATGTGACAGTAAATTTGAATTTTTGTCTGCAGACTGCACTAGCACATGCTGTTTTTTGGAAGTGTCTTGAGAAGCATCATTGCCGTAATGATGCCATGGAGGGATGGATTCACTGTAATGGGCTGAGAACCTGCCAGCATACAAACATATAAAAATATTATTTATCTGCACTGTACGTAGCTTGCAGTTTCCATAACAACCGCAATGTCTTTGTTGGCCGATGATTGGGAACATGTGCTTTTTTCCCTAGGCGTGTGTTCCAGTGTGTGTGTGTGTGTGTGTGTGTTTATGTTTTATACTTTAATGAAGCAGGGGTTAACGAGGACATTGAATATAATACTTTGTTCGTGTGCAGTGCGGATCATTTCTTTGCTCTCATTACAGTTTGTCTTCTGTAATGGTGACTTGCCGCCATTACACTGTGCATTATTGCTTGCTTTTAGAAATAATGTTGCACCAGTGACTGACCCTAACGGACCTATTTGCAACATCACATGACTTTTAGAGCAGTTTGTGTTAAAATACAGCTGGAAGTGCAGATCAATTGTCTGAAAATTGTGTTTGATGTGGAATAATGCATGCTTAATAAATTATATCTGTGAGCCTAAATATTCCATCCATTAGAGTAGCATATGTGCCAAACTTGATGTGCAACCCATCAATTTTGGCATGCAGTTATCTGCTCACAGCAGTGCAGTGTGGGTAGCTGGTGTACTTTTTCATTGATTCCAGCACAAGATGCATACATTATTTATGTTTCTTTAGAAATTATTTATTATTTAGTTTTAGAATGACCTTTAAAATATGTTCAGTTTTACATTTAGATATACATTTGACTTTTGGACTGTGTGTAGAGGTCAGTAAGACTTATGTAGTGTTACAGTGTTCTTTTTAACCTTCTATTCATCCGATAATCCTGAAAAAAAAAATCACAAAAATATTAAGCAGCATGACTATTGCTGTTACAACATTGATAGTACTGGGGAAAGTACTGCTCCAAATCATCATTATTATAATGATTTCTGAAGGATCACGTGAAACTGAAGGCTGGTGTAATGACTGCTGAAAATTCAGCTTTGCATTACTGGAAAAAATATATATTTAAAAAAGAAAAAGTTATTTTGAATTGTAATAATACTTACTATTATATATTTGAATAATTCACTGTTACTGTTTACTGTCATTTTGATCAAATAAATGCATCCTTGGTAAGTATAAGATACTTCTTTCTAATGCATTAAGAAATCTTTTGAATATTAGTGTATATAATCTAATGTTTCATAAAGCATTTTAACCACAGTTATATACCTATTTATATTCAAGCAAGGATATATTTAAGATGTGTACATGGTTTAACATTAGATTTAACATTTCATTCTGTGTTTTTAATCCATTCAACTTTTTTAATTAAAACCTTAAATAGGTCAATCTTATAATCATATATCATTTATGAGAACATTGAAATCTGTAAGAGAATTTCCAATAACACTTTATTTCAATGGTCATCTTTAGACATTCTACTATTAGTAACTTTGCAACTACATGTCAACTAACTCTCATTAGAGTATTAGAAGACTGTCTGCTTAATATTTAATATCTGCTAACTCTTTATTTTGATGCTCCCCCAACAGACATTCTACTAACTATAAGTATCTTTGCAACTACATGTCAACTTATTTTACTAACCCGAACCCCCACCTAACCCTAACCTAACCGTCAACTAATACTCTAATGAGAGTTCGATAACATGTAGTTGCACAGTTACTTATATTTAGAACAATGTCTAAAGTGGACCATCAAAATAAAGTGTAACAGAATGTTCTCTGGCAGCTGTGAATTATGCAGGGAAAATGTCACCCAGCGGAAGTGACATCATTAGCCCCTCTTTTGATTTCATAACAGTTTTGTCTACATCTCATTTGTGGCATCTGCATTATAGGCTTCCAAAACAGATGTATTTTCATTGTTACAAAAGGCAGTATAAAGGAGAGGTGAAGTGACTGCTTGCAGTGAACAGAGACGGGCTAGTGCACTAGTGTTACTAGTGTTTTTTTTTTTGTCTCTCTCTTTTTATGTGAGAGCTTTTATCATGGCTGAATATGCAGTAGTGCTGTTTGTGTGTGGGTTTTCATTGCAGCATTTTATTTAGGAACAGCGTGTTCTAAAAGGCAAAATGGCTTGAATAAATGCCCCTTTTTTGTTGTTATCTGACTTCCACTTTATGTATTGTCAAATTGTGCTTACATTTTCATCAAGAGGTCAAAGTTCAGTTTGGTTTTGTTTAGTTACCCCCTGCTGGTAGATGCTGTAACTGCATCATCAGTATCATTCTTTATCGATTGCCGTTCAGTAGCTGTAATTTTGTGGAGGAAAAAAAATACAAATTTTATAAGTATTTGGAGTTGGGAAGAAATGCTAATGCTAACATGGTTTTCTCCAGGTATCATACAATATGTCTCATTTGTTTTCACCTTCATTCTCATCGACCCAAACTGAATAAGAATGCTGGTCTGCATTAAAGTATTTCTGCTAGGTTTGCAGTGACAAAAGCACCTGAAGGAACAAGTTTAATGGCCATTATTGCAGTTATCTCTTGTATTGTGTACTTAGCTGGGCAGGCCTATTGGACACTGTGACAGCCTGTCTGTTCTTTTGTGTACACATGTGCCTGAGCTATAGTGCTTCCTTACACTGTTTCATTGCGTGATCATCCACACTGCCCTGCTGGAGAGAGATAAGCAAAACAGCCTGGAACATTTTAGCAGGTGAATTTTGAGAATGTAATCGAAAGCACAAAAATAAAACAAAACAAAATATTTCCTTTCCTCCTAATTTTTGAAGTGCATACTAAAAATCAGTAGGTGACTCCAGGTCACATGCTTCCCCCTTTTTTTTTTCAGCCCTCCTTTTATCTGGTCTTTGAGCCTGATTCATCAGTGTAAAATCTGCTCCTTAAATAGAGTGGATTGTGTTTGTGTCTCTTTCTAAGGATGAGTACATGAATCATGTTTTTTTTAACGCTAGGCTGTCTCTCCAGAGAGTGCTCCTTCATATGATGATGAATGAGAGGTTTCTTCTTTCGCCGCACAGTGATTCACCCACTTCAGACGGCAGGAGCGCGTAGTAAACTGTGATCGCCTTTGAAAGGGCTTCACATATCTGTGCTTCTCTCTTAGTGGAGGGTTTCTGTTTTGTGAAGTAGCTGAGATTTCTCAGTCAAAATAATGTGAAAATGATCATGTATGAATATATTTCAAGTTTTGTGGCATCTGAGAAAGACCTAAATTCCATATTAATGCACTACCATTCAAAAGTTTAGGGTTGGTAAGATGTTTGAATGTTTTTTGAAAGAAGTCTCTTATGCTCACCATGACTGCATTAATTCGATCAAAATACAGTAAAAACAGTAATATTGTAAAATGTTATTACAATTTATAAAATTGTTTATCGCTGTAATGGCAAAGCTGAATTTCCAGCATTATTACTCCAGTCTTCAGTCACATAATGAGTGATTTCATATAATGAAATCTATGCTGATTTGGTGCTCAAAAATTATTATCAATGTTGAAAAGAAACAGTTGTGATGCTTAATTTCTTTTTTTTTTTAAACATACTGACCCCAAACTTTGAACCGGTAGTATATATTTTTGTGATTTTATGTACGATTTTTATCATATTTTTATGTTATTTTTGGCTTTTTGTAAGTGGACAGGAAGTGATAGGTAGAAAGGGCAGACATTTTCTGAATTAATTATTTGTTCAACTTTCATTTTTAAAACAGACTGAATAATGCCACACTAGTCGTACGTACCCCACAGAAATATTAATATAATATGATGTTGGCTGTAATATGATATGATGCAAGCCCTCCCAGGCTTGGCAAGAAAAGTGACTGCAGCCGCTTGTAGATTTATATGTCGATGGAACGGAGCATTCGGTTGTTGTTTTAATCCGTCATATCAAACCATTATTCTACACAAACCTAACCCACACACCGCTATGATATGTGCTACCGTGGCTAGTGTCACTTATTGTACCCCTCACAGCCGTATCTTTACATTTCACGCACGCTGTTTTCCAAGGAGTCAGCCGTTGCTGCTTTAGTGACGGATTTGAGTTACTGTTTTAGTGACAGATGGATGTGAAATGTTGCGCAAATTTGTCAGGTCTGTAAAACTGACTTTAAGTGTGTGTCTCTCCAGGGCTCTGTTTGACTACGAGAGAGCGAAGGATAGTGGTCTGCCCAGTCAGGGTCTCAGTTTCCGATATGGAGACATTCTCCATGTCATCAATGCATCTGATGATGAGTGGTGGCAGGCCAGGAGAGTGACGCCAGAAGGGGACAGTGAAGAGATGGGTGTCATCCCCAGCAAGAGGAGGTGAGTTTCATGATGAATCACCTTCACAAATAAAGACTAAACCTGTGGCAAATGCTAATTCTGGGCCACATCATTACTACCAAACATTTTGTGGTCCCATTAGACTTAATAACCACAAATCGCAAACAATCTTACCTTTTTAATTAGAACTGTCAATAAATGAACAAATATAATCGAGTTATTTTTGATATGCAAATTTACCAAATCACACACAGCCCCCCCCCCCTCCTCTCTCTCTCTCTCTCTCTCTCTATATATATATATATATGTATATATATATATCCATTTAATATTTATATTGCATTGTTTTTTATAATTAATTGTACTAAATTAACATGTGACAGGCCTAGTTCTAATTGTTACCCTACTGCCCTATATTTAAGTTGGCTCTTTAAAGGGAACATACAATGGAAGAAAGAATTTTCCTTTCTTCTCCGATATAAAAGAGTTCAATACACTATGTGCATAATAAGCAGTAAAAATGGATCATTCGTTAACATTAATGTATCACATTCTTGCCTATCAATTTTTTATCTGTTACATACAAATGTCTTAAAGGTATACTATAGCAGCAAAAGTCTGTTTGTTTTGAAAGATCAGGTGAAAAATGATCATGTAAAATTAAATTAGAAGTGTTTTGGTTGTTTCAGATTGTATGTACTCTACCGTTTAAACATTTCGATTTGGTAAGATTTTTAATGATTTGTTCTAATATGCTGATTTGATACTCAGTTATTATCCATGTTGGAAACAGTCAGGCTGCTTAATATTTTTTTTGGAACCTGTAATACTTTTACGGGATTTAGTGAAGATTAAAAAGTTAAAAAGAACAGCATTTATTCCAAATAGAAATCTTTTCTAACAATATTAATCTTTACTATCACTTTTTATCAGAAATCATTCTAATCATATCTGCTGATTTGGTGCTCAATAAACATTTCTAATAATTGTTAATGTTGAAAACAGTTACAATATGTTTGTGAAAACCGTACAAATGAAGTGTACAGTAAGTACATTAGTTAAGTGTTTCACTGACAATGTCTCTATTCCTGTGGCAGGGTCGAGAGAAAAGAGAGAGCTCGTCTGAAGACGGTTAAATTCAACGCAAAACCCGGTAGCCTCGATTCTAAAGGGGTGAGTGTTCTATTTGAATTTAAGTCAGTGCCAACATCCGAAATTCTGTTCGCTCCAGTTTTTTAGGTATAAACAGGAAGGGCCCAGCGATTTATTGACAGTTTAGACAGTTCACCTGCAGCCCCGTCGTGTCTCTTGACTCATCTCTCTTCAGTCTATCCGGTTTAGTTTCTTTCGTTCCCTGTCATCTTCAATTTACTTTTCCATTTCAAGTTGTGCTGGTGGGTTATTGAGTCAGTCAGTCAGAATGGAAGTGTGTGTGAGAGACTGTCCTCGTGCCGCAGTGTGACAGCTCACTCTGAGCTCTCAGCATCAGTACTGCAGCACAACCCAACAGGCGCTCACTGAAACAGCCTCAGTATTATGTCTGTACATAGATGCGTCTCTTCGTCTTTTATGAGATTAGTATTGTAAGGTCACCTGTAGTAAATATTTCTTATGTGTGTGTGTTTGAGAGAGGTAAATGAATAAAACTGAAGGATGTATTTTTAGTTCGGCACCCAACTGCAGAGCCGTTCAGGGTTTTAGCCTTATGATTCCCACTTGTATCCATAGCAACATCGCAGCCAGGCCTGCACATTTCAGTTTCTTCCTTGTCTTTTGTTTCTTTTTTTTCCTCTCCCTCTGTCTTTTAAAGATGAGGAGAGGGGTGGGGATGTTGGCACTGATGGATTACTTGAGGATTTTGTCTTGTGGTTTTGTCTTTGTGTTCAGTTGCACCAACTTGTGTATGTATCATTTCAGGTTTATGACTCATAGGATTTCAGTGTTTATTGAACATGCATTGATTAGAAGTGTTTATATGCCTTATAATAGGGAGAATTAGTTGGGTGAAAGTTATGAATATTCCCTTTAATCACTATCAGGGGTACAATTGGTTTCTTTCGTACACTGTACTGATATATTAAAATAGGTAAAAACCACAAAAATACACACAAAAGCATTACAATTCAAATTATAGTTATTGCCAAACATTTAAGTATGAATCTCATTAAGAAATGTCTAGGTTATGTTTCACCCACAGATCATTAAAAACATGATTTGCATAAAGGAAATGAAACCTATTTTAGAACCATTGCAATTCATAATAATTAAGCATAATACTCCTGATTTTATTGCTGTTATAAATCTCATTCTCATCAATGTATCACATCCTGACAATTATTTCTATTAAAGCATAATTAAATTCAGGATATAAAATACTATTATGGTTACATACTTTACAACTTAAATATCTACTGTTTGTCTTTATTTGTTTCTTATTGAGTTTTGCATCACATAATTACATTGTTAAGAATTGCATTACATTATTCAAGGGAGTTTGAAATTTCAATAAAATTTTAAATTGTAATGGTTCTAAAATAGACTTGATGTAATATAAGTCATATCAATTTTTTTCTTTTTCTTTTCATTTCGGGGTGAAAGATGATGTGGACATATCCTTGATGGGTTCCACCATTATAGATTATTCAGGAAAATTACGTTCATATCAGGCAGCATATTGAGCTCAGGTTCACCAAATTAGGTAAAAAAAATCACATTTAGAATCACCCCAGGCACATATATGTTACCTCATTTATTTTTCTCTGCATTTTATAACCATTTTAAAAACAATTCACCTTTCGAAAATCATAATACTACACACAAGCAGCACAAATTTTGCCCCTTTGATCAGCATGTCACCCTGTCAGGAGTCCTGCATGCTTAATATTTTAATATGAGTTTTTTTTTTAAGTCCCCTTTGCCTTTGCATGGCACTAAACCAGCTTCAGTTGGCCTTTTGTTGATCATTGTTTACCTCCCTTGTATGTTCATTTCTACTGATCATGTTTTGATTTGAATACATTTGAGCTGTCTAAGAATAGCTCAGGTGCTGTGACGTCATGGACAGCAGGGTTTGGATCAGCCTTCACAACAAACAAAGACCACCTATTCAGGATCATCCAAGTGCTTTCAGCTCTAGCCAAAAATAATGCAATTACTTTGGTACAAATTAAAACCTATTTCAAATGTGTGAATTGCTCATTTGATTTGATGACCGATCCTGACCATGAAAACAGAATGATACCGTTTGATATTTGGTTGTTTCCTGGCTGCTGTCCCTCACGTCTAGCTCCGGTCGTTGTCTTGTTTTTGTCAGCATGTTTGTGACAGCGTTTAGAGCCCCCTGTTTGCACCATGCTCTCTCTCCGCACAGTCATTCAGTGAAAAACGTAGAAAGAACTTCATCTTTTCACGCAAGTTCCCTTTCTACAAGAACAAGGACGCCGACGAGCAAGACGGCAGCGACTCGGAAAGTAAGTAGCCACAAACGCACGTGCACTCTGACACATAGGTACATAAAAACAGCACACGCTCACACAAACGCATCCCCGGGGTGAGGTGAAAGGTCTAGGTGTGTGTAGGTAGCTCCAGGAAGCCCATGCCCTCCTTCTTCTGCTGGCGTTTCTCCCCGCCCCACCAACAACCTTACTGTCTCTCTCTCCCTCTCTCTGTCTCCCATTCTTTCATCTCTCTTCGTCTCTCTCTTTCTCCGCCCCCCTGATCGGCTGTGTGGTGTAGGACATCTCTGGAATAGGGGAGGACGGGTACGGAGCAAAGACACTGAGTAAGTGTGTTAAGGAATGGACCCAATACCCCTCTCCCAACCACACATGTAACATTTCAGTTCAGATTTGTTCTTTTCTGTTACGTCAACGACAGACCTGTCTGCATGTCAGAATACTAATGTATGTTGGTCTACAGGTCCTGATGTTTCAGGGATTCCTGCATTACCATCCTTAGGTTTATGTGGTAGCTAAAATGTTGCATGAACGTAACACATGTGAGAATAGTTTGTCAAATGTTGTTTGTTTAGTTTGTATGTCAAGACTGTTGTGCTGTTTTCTGATGTTTAGTCTTGCATAGCTGGAAAAAATCATGAAATGTAAATTGAACAGTTTTGTTTTGATTGTATGTCTTGTTTAGAGTGGGTTTGTCAAATAAAAATGCTACAATAAAAGACACATAGAAGTAATACATTCTGATTATCTTACAGACATGATTCAAAACAAATCAGAATGTGCAGTTCTGTTCATAGATATCTAGGCTACTTTCTAGTCCTTTGACTTTGTCTTTTATGATGTCTCTGCAGTGCTGTGCCAAATGTTGTCTTGTGTTTTTGACAGTGTTTTATGTTCACATCAGGAGCATTTAGCTAAAGCAGTTATTAAAAGATCGTTTTAAGGGAATGAGGAAATCCACATCAGTCAAACAGAATATTTAGCATTATTCTCAATGAATGAATAGGTATTTGTGCCAAGATATTATCCATAGAGAGGGGAAGCGAATGTTGTTCACAGCTTATGTATAAGTAAATACAGCTTGATCAGAAGAGAGGAAATTTCTTTTGGGTTGAACGTGTTCATCTCTCTTTCTCGGTACTGGGTCCCTAATTTAATCTTCTGTGTCTAATTTTATTTTACGCTTGAAACTCAAGTCTAATTTTGTCCAATACAACCAACTTAGACTGTCAGAGTTTATAGCGAGCCCCTGATAATGATCTTCTAGACTCTTAAAAACTAGAACGCACTGTTATAAGAAAGTTACTGAGTAACATGATGACTTTAGGTCAAGTTGTTGGAGATATAGAACTGTAGTCCAGCTCCAAAACATTAGCTGTCAGGTTTTGAAGTCATCTTGAGAGTGGCAGGTTTCCAGACCGAGTGTGTATTCAGAGCCTGGTTGGCTGAGCTTGTCACATTGGACATATTAGGTTTTGCCATATAATTGTCATATTGCATGATGCTCTTCTAGACAGCCATAGAGTGCCATTGTCAACATAATGAAATATGACTTGTTTGTTTCCCCTTGGCCGGTAAACAGGATTTGTGGCTTTTATTTAATTTATTTTGGAAATGGACTCACTTGATAACGTGCTGATGAAAAATGATATGTGCTGTCAGTAAGAATCTTTTCCAATTTGTGGAAAAGTAAACTACTTCCTGTGACTGTACGAGATTTTAGATTAATTTGCCACTGTAAGTGAAAAAAAATAACTAGAAAAATAGTGCAGTAAACGATAAAACTATTTGTGATACAAACCAGTGGGTTTACAATTACGACAAAACATTAAAATAATATAATAGGAAATATCAGTTTGCAACAACAGGCAGCATAACAAGCTGTTTTGTACAGCTAAAAATAACTGAAAGTGGATCCCACCGGAAGCCTTGCACAGCCAAGTTACAAATGGCCACGCCCGCTCTTAGGTTGAAAATAAGGTGGATAGCTGGCTCCATATTAGGCGCAGAGGGCAAAGGTCACTGTCTGGTCTTACAATATGATGTATAATCTGTCTCCACCAAAAGCTCCAGGCATTGATCAAACCCACATAACCTTGTTTAAAATCCTCACAGATGCTGTCCTCTTAGCTTGACTGCTGTTTAATGCATAGAACTCGTCCTTTCCTTTCCTGCCTACCCACAGTACACAGGCAGCTGCCTTCTAACCACCATGACTGATTTTTAGCACTCTACATAACCATCCATGTGAGACTCAACTTGCAATAGTATTTGATATATCCCCTTTTTACCACATTTTAAAAGCAAAATTAAGTTGCCTACCCTTCAGAACAGCCTTTGTGTTGTGAGTCTACATTTGATGCCTTAAAATTCTGCCTCTGTAGGCAGCTCATTAGGTTGTTGAACAGAGCTTTAAAGCGTGCTTTGTATTTGTAAGGCTTTGTATAGACATAATCCATTCTGTTTATGGCAATAGCTACAACAATAGAGGCCATCTAGCTTTTCCACAGCTTCTAAATTGTTTTGGGTAAGTGGAGCACTACACAGTAGCTGATTCATGTGTGATTCATTCTGTATAGTTTAATGTTACCACTTCCAATGAGAGAAATTAAGCTCTGGCTCAGAATAACACTCGATCCTATCTGGGTTTGAATCGATGGATAATAACCATATTGTGTTCCTGCGGCAGCCTGCTTCTGTTCGTCCCAGGGCTAAAAATAAACCACCCTGGCAACTTGAAGTCCCTGTGTGCGCAGACTACCTCAAAACTAGCGTCACATTGGACCTGCGTTCCCATAATTGGACTTATATATTCAATTAGTATTGTCACTGTCTGAAACGTCAGTCTCATCCGTGATTAAATTGCTTTTCTGTTGTCCATCATCTTCCCAAAGCCTTTCTGCCGATCCCTTTAATCTCCCAAATGAGCCTTAACTCAATTTTGCCACTGTTTTTCATTTTTCTCTTTTTTTAAAGCAAATGTCCTTGTCAACAAGTACGTAATGACATTACATGCTCAGTAACTCATTTACACATCCACTCGAGCTGCACTCTGAGAGGCGAGACCTTGGTGAAGGGCACATCAAATGTGTCTCGATTACTGGCGTTCTACAGAAAGCAAGCTGAGTCCCATCACAACCACCCACCCCACTGAGTATGTTTCTCTGTTCTGTTTCCAGGGAGTCAAGAGGAACTGATCCTCTCGTATGAGCCTGTCATCAGACAAGAGAGTAAGTGCTTCTCCACTGTATGAAGTTCTTGTGTAAATAGTGTAAATATATTACGTGATTGATGTTCAATTTGTTTGTTGTTTCTGTATTATCTGTTTGAACAGTTAATTACGCCAGACCAGTTATAATTTTGGGGCCCATGAAGGACAGAGTCAACGATGACCTCATCTCCGAGTTCCCGGACAAGTTTGGGTCATGTGTGCCACGTAAGTACCCTACAGAGATCTTGTGGTTCTTGCCCAGGTGGTTAGATTATCAGATAAACTAATCTCCTAGTGGATCTTTCATTAATTATTCATTTTTCATCTTTAGAATGCACAAATTAACCTTCAGTAGAGGCTGACTCAACCACGGTCAAGTCAAGTCAAGTCACCTTTATTTATATAGCGCTTTTTACAATACAGATTGTATCAAAGCGCTTCACAGTGATAACATGAAAACAATATAACAAAGTTTGTTTCTAAAAGAAATTGCGTCAACGTCCACCTTAAGTAAGGCAGATCAATAATATTATTGAATATTAAATGTTAAATGTCCCCAACTAAGCAAGCCAAAAGCCAAGGCAACAGTGGCAAGGAACCAAAACTCCATCAGGTGACAGAATGGAGAAAAAAACCTTGGGAGAAACCAGACTCAGTCGGGGGGCCAGTTCTCCTCTGGCCAACGAAGGAACAGTGCATGATTCGGGCAGCATTACAAGTCAGATTGGATCGGAACATTTAGAGTATTTTTTGGAAGTCCAAGTATGCACGCCGGTCTTAAGACGAGTTGTTGAGGATCAGTGCCGTCCACCATAGAGAGTCCATATCGCCCGTGTTGAGTCGTCACTTCATAGGCTTTGTGATTGGAGCATCTGAAGTCTCCGTGAGAGGCTGGATACAAACTGGAGCTGACGAACGCCATTTTCTCGGGACTCGCGTCCCGAGATAACAGCAGAAAAGCAAAGGGAAAATAATTAGCGTAGCTGCTGTTCATAATGATGATTTCCATAACACAGGCGTAAATGACAAAACATGAAGACAGTGACTCTTGCGTCCCAAAATCACCCCCCTCCGTCCCCCACTCAACTCAGCCTTGCTTACTGACCTCTACGTCCCTCCTGCTGCTGAGACCTAACCACAATCTCACAATCTCTCCGCAACCCAACCATACGCGCCAACCCGTTGACTAAGGCTGTCGAGCCCCACTGGTGCGTGAATAGGCAGTTTCAGTGGACAACGGTTCCGTATGGCATACTACCTACCGCAACACAATATCTGCCCAACCACCCGTCATTCACGCAATATACACAGGAACGTAATGACTGCAAATACTATGCAACCTATACAGATAACCTACAGTCTCTTCAAGTTTTATAGTATTAAATGCATTTGATCTGATTCAGCAGTATTATAAAAGGTAAGCATTATGTAAATGCTTGGCTAAAAAGATGCGTCTTTAATCTAGTTTTAAACTGGGACAGCGAGTCAGAGCCTCGAACAATATCAGGAAGGCTATTCCAGAGTTTAGGAGCTAAATGTGAGAACGCCCTCCCTCCTTTAGTGGACTTAGATATCCTAGGAATGACTAGAAGCCTCGAATTTAGTGATCTTAAAGAACGCGATGGATTGTAGGGCGATAGAAGGTCCATTAAATACACAGGAGCTAAACCATTTAGGACTTTATAGGTCAGTAATAGAACTTTGTAATTGATACGGAACTTGATAGGTAACCAGTGTAGAGATGATAAAATTGGTGTTATATGATCATATTTTCTTGACCTAGTAAGAACTCTAGCGGCTGCATTTTGCACTAACTGTAGCTTGTTTATTGAGGATGCAGGACAACCGGCTAATAAAGCATTACAGTAATCTAGTCTCGAGGTCATGAATACATGAACTAACTTTTCTGCATCGGAAACAGATAGCATGTTACGTAATTTAGCAATGTTTCTAAGATGGAAAAAGGCTGTTCTTGTAACATATGAAATATGATTTTCGAAAGACAAGTTGTGGTCTAGTATAACTCCCAGGTCTTTTACCGTAGAGGATAAAGTAACAGGACATCCTTCTATATTAAAGTTGTATTGTGAGTGGTTTTGTGGATAGTTTTTTGGACCAACAAGTAATACCTCCGTTTTATCTGGATTTAGTAGCAGGAAATTATGCGTCATCCAGCATTTTATATCTTTAAGACACTCTGTCAATTTTGATGAGTTAGTGTTTTCATCTGGCCGTGCTGAAATATATAATTGAGTGTCATCAGCATAACAGTGGAAATTAATTCCATGTTTTCTTATAATATTACCAAGTGGCAGCATATATATTGAGAATAGCAGAGGGCCTAACACCGATCCTTGCGGCACGGACTCAAAAGAGCCCAAATGTGCAATAGTGTACTGTGTTATTCTCACTGGTGCCATTATAAATTTCAACTGGAGTGTTAAAAAAACCTCTGGCCAAGGTAGTTTGTAATTATATTCAGTAGTCTTAGGGGTTTTTAAGCCTTTGTGCTGATAGCGGTACTGGTGGGATTCATCAAAATGAGATGGTAAGGTAAGTGACCTGACCATAAGAGTCTGTGGTGTTCCCTACTGCCCCACATTGCTCATAACTATTGCTGTGCAGTTCCTGAAACTCATTTCATTGTGCTGTGACTATGAAATCGCTTACTTCAAGGTCTGCTGATTAACAAATTTCAACTGGGTCACTTTATTGTGATGTTTTCAGAAGTTATAATTGGTCTAAATAAATACAAAACCCAATAAAAGTTCTTCGAGCAAACCTTGAAGGTAACACTTCGTTACCCACACTTTGTACGATTTCATTTGTTTTATACTTTTCCTGAGTTTTAAATGTTTTTGGAAAAGAGCTTTGTTGGCTTGTGCTATACATATTAACCAAAATATTGACAATATTGTGGAGGTTTTCATCTCAGACCCAAAAGGGAATAAAGATCCTATATCATTCTCATAGTTTGCTGATGAGTGCCACAGAGCTCTTTCATGTTTTCCATCTTGAACACTTTATTTATTTATTGTTTGTTTTTCAGTTTTTCAAACTTTTATTTAACCGTTTTTGTTTATGTTCATAATTTTTAAAAAGCGGCTAACAGTTCTGATCAAGAAGGTAAGTGAGATTATTAGTCTGCAGTGAGCAAGATATAAGTAGAAAATGTAATAGCATCAGTCTTTCCCTGTAGTATACAGTTCATCCAGTCAGTGCGATCTACGGGGATTTCTGCTTAGCTTATCTGCTGCTGTTCTATCTCTTAGTATGTCACCCCAATAGCTAGAGATATCATTTTTTTATTTGTGAAATTAGATTTGCCCTCTGCACTCCGAGAGCTGATAGATAATAAAGTTGATGATTTCCCATTTTTATGTGTTGTAGAACTGAGTACCCAAGTATTATAAAACTAAAGCCTGGATTTTTTTTTTTTAACCAATCTCAGATACTACCAGATCAAGGCGGGATTATGAAGTGGATGGGAGAGATTATCACTTTGTAAACTCACGGGAGCAGATGGAGAAAGACATCCAAGAGCACAAGTTCATCGAGGCTGGACAGTACAATGAAAATCTGTACGGAACCAGCGTCCAGTCTGTCAAATATGTGGCTGAGAGGGTCAGTAGTTGCTATGGTTTTACAACCACAACATTGCCATGAAGCCTGCTTACTAATGTGGATTTTACAATTTGGGATGCCTAGCTAGTTTAACATGTTCCAGAGATGTACAGTACTCATGAGTACTTTGGTATAGTGTCTTATATGTTAGGGGCCGGCCCATTTCCTTGCTGAACTTCTTTTAACTTTACATCTCAAAGTCCAACACTTGTCCTTGTGTCGTTGAATGTGTTCTTTGTGAATGGCCCCTTGCTCTACTGTTCAGCTTCCCACCATTTAGCAAGCCTTTATTGCTTTTCTAGGGAAAGCACTGCATACTTGACGTGTCTGGGAATGCCATAAAACGACTACAAGTAGCACAACTCTACCCCATTGCCATCTTTATAAAGCCTAGATCCATGGAGTCCTTAATGTAAGTTTACCACACAGCTCTATGATGGTGTATTAATTCAATAAATAATACAAATTCCATTGTGTTCAGACACAATTGATACATTTCTAAACCCTTTGCGTTTCAGGGAGATGAATAAGAGGTTGACGGAGGAACAGGCCAAAAAGACATATGACCGTGCCATGAAATTAGAGCAGGAGTTTGGCGAGTACTTCACAGGTAACAGTAAAGTTCCTAATCCATCGAGAGGACCTGAGCGGCGCCTTCACGCTCAGAGGCTGTCCAATATCACCTCATTTGCATATTCTGATAGTCTGTTGCATATGCATTACCTCAGAGGCCAACCATTGCAGCGTGTTACATCCATCATATTTGACAGCAGAGCCATGGAGCTGACGCTTTCCCCTGAGTGAAACACATCAACTTTCTCTTGAAATATGCATTAGCCTGACCCCTGTGAGTGTATGGAGGAATATGAAATAGAGCTTAGCGACATAATGATTCATTTGAGGACATTTTGAACCCGTGTGACAATGCTGTTGCTTGATTTTTTTTAATTCCGTTAATCTGCACCTGCGAGAAAAGAGATTTAAAGAGTGTGTTGCTTTGCTAATAATGCTGTATACTGTTAGTAGATTGACTATTTTTCTTATGAGAAAAATGAAATGTTATTTTTAAATGAAAAGCTGCATAGTTCTCTCTGCCTTGTTAGAGATTCTGTTGCTGGGTAAAATGGCTATTCTTACCGTTCACACAAGAAGAATTCATGAGCGATAAAGTGGCTAATGATCCATTAAGTTCAAAAACGATCATTATGAAACTGTCATCGAGGTTTCTTACTTCTTGTGGCGCAAAATGATAAAGGCGGTGCTCCGTAAAGTGCATAATAATCTATTAACGTCAGCTCTTTCTCTCTCTCTCTCTCTCTCTCTCTCTCTCTCTCTCTCTCTCTCTCTCTCTCTCTCTCTCTCTCTCTCTCTCTCTCTCTCTCTCTCTCTCTCTCTCTCTCTCTCTCTCTCTCTCAGCGCTGGTTCAAGGGGAAACACTAGAGGACATTTATAACCAGTGTAAGATGGTGATAGAGGAACAGTCTGGACCTTACATCTGGATTCCTTCAAAAGAAAAACTATAAAAAAAAATCACCTTACCCTGGCAGGGACCTTGGACTGCAACAAAAACAAAACAAAACAAAAACATAGGAATAATTTGTAATATAATATAAATTATTATTATTGCAATGTTTATTGTTAACTCTTACAGTGATTTTTTTCTCTTGTTTGTTTGTTTGTTTATTTTATGTTGCATTTTTTCACTTTCAATATGAATGTTCCTGAATGTACACCACAAAGTGTTAGAGGCATCTTTGTTTGCATATTTATTGGTTAGCATTTTAATTTAAGGAAAAAAGGAAACAAAATTTAGCGCCGAGTATTCTTCAAACAATCTTCAGTTCAGAAGGACAAGTAGGTCAGATCATCACAGATGATTTCCACACACCATCACCACCTCCGAGAAGAAAGAAAAAATCAATGTTGATATCAGCTTTTGTCACTTTTCACCCAATCGGTTGGTTTCACACACCTCCCAGACTCATTTCACAAACTCAGCATCTATGCACTCCTGTGGCTAACAACATCTTTTTTTTGTATTTGTATTATTTTGTTCATTTTGTTTTGTACAGACATCCATTTTGTTTTGAGTATATTACTTCAAAGATTTAGTTCAAATTGTACATGAATTCTTATGGATCCTTTCGGAAAGGTGTCTTGTGATTAAAAGATGCTTTAGTTAGTGTAAACGGCTGAGGGGATTCAACTAGCTGTAGGAAATATGACACTATATTTTGCTATTTATATTGATAGAGGACACAACAGCACAGAAAATATTTATAAAGATGATATATAACTTTGTCTAAAGAATAATTTTGGAAAAGAGACTTTACTGGTACTGGTGTATCATATTGTGCCGTTGCTGTTGTGCTGCTGAGAATGAAAGGTAACAAGTGTGTGTTTTCCCTGAACAAAACGCCCCCTAATCCGTCCAATTCCAGGAATCTGCTAATTCTAAACTGACCGAGAGTTCTGAAATCCCTGGAGCTCAGAACTTTAATTGGCTGAGAATTTGAATTGTGTTTCAGCTTTGTTCAGTCTGGATAACAGGAAGGAGCTTGATGTTTGTGAATCATTCATTGAGCGGTTGTTCAGTAGCGGCCTCCCTCAAGCACCCTCTAAAGTGTTTACAGTACCTCGACTACAGTTCAGAGAGATTGAGGGCCAAAGGGACGAGGTCTGCAAGCGGTCCTGTCTTAAAAGCTTTTACGTAAATGTAGTATAAAGATCTCTGAATCGGTTTAGTTTGTTCCATTTTGGCATGCTTTACACTTGTGGACATGACCTTGGCTTATAGTCCACTCATTCACAGTGCATACTTCGGTCATTCTTGCCCTTCTTTACATGTCTAGTTCAGAGAGATTTCCGTCCTTCTACATTAATAGTAAAGCTCTCGCCATTTTTGGAAACTACAAATGCCAAAAGCCATTAACTCGTTTCAAATGTGGGGGGAATTATTTGCAATATTTATTGGGAGATGTTACAGCACGGTTCTGTGGCAAGAGTCTTTTGACCTACTGGTCACCACTTGCCTTAAAAAAGGGAAGAGGCTTTTCGGGCCAGATAGACGTTTTTTACGCTTTCTTGAAGACTGAGCACTTTTGTATATTTGAGAAATTATTCACAGATTGTGTTCAACCAGATAGTGGACACAGAGGGGGGTTTTCAGAAGAGAGGGACTGAATATCACAGTGAAGCTCTTCAGGGTGTAATATGAAATTTCTTTGAATAACAATAGATAATGTATGTATTATGACAATGTAAACCATGGATGGCATCGGTGACTATCAGAATATAAATTGAACATTTTAAATGCTGTGAAATGATTTTTTTCTCTTCTACACGTGTACATCTTTTTTTCCCCCTTATTCAATGTGATTGTTCTATCATCTGTAGCATATCATTTTCTAAATTGAATTCTTAATGCACACAATGGATCATGAAAGCATCACACGGGATTTTGGGTACTCTTCACGTCAAATGTTTGATTTTAAATCAATTGGTATGATTATTAGGTAATCAAAAGTGCATCTCAATTACTGATGCAGTGGCTTTAATGAAAATCAAAACCCTGCAGATTGTACGCACTTGAACGAGGCTCTCCGAAGCCTTATGGTGCTCACACATAGTCTGATTTGGTCCATTAATTCCAAGTGAATGTTCAGCTTAGTCAAACGTGCTGAAATGGGGTTGCTTTTGTCTCAGGGTTGCCAGATAGGGCTTAATCACTGATATTAAACCTTCAGATCAAAGTGCATCTGTTTATCACACAAATCTCAAATGTTTTATTCCTGATACCTGCGTTGCATTTAGTCTGATTCTTTTGGTTCGCTTTGTGATTTATTTATCCCCAAATGGGCGATGCAAAATATTTTCCACACATTGTTTATTTTTTTCCCCTTGAAACCCAAATGATATGTGCAATTTTGTATATAAATATCTGTTTGCACTTATTGTAGTTGTATAGGAGATCTTTAATTAACACTGTCCCCAAACCTATTTGTTTTTTCTATTTATATCACAGGAGATTAAAGTTAAATCATTAAAGACTTACATCCCTCTTCTGTTTGTAGGTATCATTTCCCAGCATTCCATGGGTGCAACATTTAGAAAAAGTGAGACTGTACAGTTATCTACACAATCTGTTGAAAAAAAAAAGTCTTATTTTTGTTTTACTCTTTTCTTCCTTTTGGCTATTCTGAAGGAAAAACAAAGAAAGGAACCTAGCCTGTTGCAGTGTGTATCCCAATAAAGACATTGCTTTAGGTGCTCTACTCTAACTGTAAATGAAAGATGTGGTGAGACATTTATACTCGTCAAGTAATTGACGGCTGTCTCTAAAATGCTGTTTTGGTCTCTTTTGTGCACTGTGAGTGTTTGCACCTCTTTACTGACATCTGGATTTGCCTTTTAACATCAATTAATCTGCCGCTGACTCCATGACATGCCGTTTAATTGATATACTGAACCTTTAACAGAGTTTTGTCATGCAAGACAGACAACCCACTTGTGGGCCCAATAGCTCTCAAAGTCATTTATCTATCTAATCAGTATGTATGACAGTCACTAATGGGTAGGGTGGAAACTTACGACCTCTCACAGTGTCTCACTTCAAATACTGTATCCTTGACATTATTGCAAAGGCACTGGAGTTTTCAATGAAGCCCTTTTATGTATTCATCAAGTCTTTATTGTGTGTTCATGCTGTACATTAACCAGTGACAAGTGCAAGAAAGGAAACACGTTTCTTCTGCTCTTTTTCAGAATGATGCTTATTTAATGTAATTGAAACGATTATTCCAAGCATTGACCATCTGGAAAAATTCTTGCTCTTTGTGTGTTTTTAAGGATCTGCAACAATTATGGTTGTACATGGTCGAACTGCTTTGTTTTCAGCTGTTTTTGCTGCCATCTGGTGGTTGAATGAATGAATGAATGAATGAATGAAATCTTTATTTCGAACAATTAATAAAAATAATAATAAAATAAATAAATAAATAAAGACAGCAATACGTATGAAGTATCCATACAAATAATTAAACACAAAAACAACAAAAATTATTATTATTTTTTTTTTTTTGCATAATAATCAATTATGGTTGTTCAGGATGTAAACATGTATTTTTTGCTCGTCTGACTCTAGACGGCCTGACATTGTTGCTCTTGTAATTTGCGCAGCAACAGATTCATGAATATGAAAGTGTGTTAGTATTTGCTGTTTAAACTCCAACATGGTTTGTAGTCTCTTATATTAGATGTGTCATTCATCTCCAGCCTCAGGACACGCTGTGGTCTGTTCTTCATCACAATACTGAACAACTGTGTCCGCACTGCATGTGGGTCCAACCTCAGAGTAACCAAAGCCCTCAAAGTGTAGCGCTGCAGCAGAGGCCTGGTTGGGCTCTTTCGGCTTAATGAAGTCTGTGTAGACGTACGGCAAAGGGGTCACTTCTGCAGTCTCAGGTACTTCCTGTAAGACAGGAGTGGCCAGAGTAAACCAATAGTAACAGGTCAATAACAGTCATTAAAAAAAAAAGGGTAGCCTGTTAAAAAAACAATAATAGGCCTACATATATCATTCATAGCATTCCGCTGGAAGAGTTTTTTATGACCTAAAGACCCCGAAAAATAACATGCTTCATAATTTAGCGTCAGGGGCCACGGCAACTTCTGGTGCAGCGCAGTGAATGGAAATTGTGAGAAAATTAAGCACAAAAGTAGGCTAAATGTTGAAGTGTCACACAAAATGACAAAGTAATATTGATAAGATCCACCTTCATGCTAAAGTAATTGGATTGTATAAAATGGAACATGATATAGGCCTAGTGCATTATTTTTCTAATAATTCAACGGCCCGGAGACAATTATTCCTTTACCACACCTCAAAACATTGTTCAGATGATGTATTTCAAGACGTTTGTCAGGTGTTTGTCCTTTAACGCTCTTGTGTGGGGGACTATTTCTTACGCATCTAATCCCAAACCTCTGTTGCTAATTTCAAAATGTAATTTTAGAGCTAGTAACGGATTTTCATTATTATTAATATAATAAAAATAACTCTTTAAGATAAGGAAAATATCAATAATTGTATTGTCCGTGTAAATATCTACTGAAATTATTATTACATCTGTTTATAATGTATTTGATTAATTGCCCATTACCTGATAAATTCCAAGGACATTATCTGCATCCCCTGTGAAGTATATTTCACAGATATTATATGACAATTGGTTGTATAATATACAATTTATGTACACACATGCATTCATTGGTAGTATATTTTCAATACCTTCATCTGTAGTTCTGCCATTTTCAACTCTTTGCCCTAAAAAATAATTGAATAATTTAAAAACAGTAGTTGCTGTAAATGTATTTCAGGTTTTATGTAGCTTCAGAGTTTTTAAAGCAGAAAATGTGGCTGTGATTCATTCTCCTTTTCTTCATGTCTGATGTTTTTGAGAACAATTTCTGAGATTAGCCTACGTGGTATTTACATTCATGATCTGAGTCACACAGTAAACCTAAATCATGAATGCTGTGGGTTTCATAAACATGCAGTTGTTATTTTGCTGAAGCAACATGTATGAACGTTGTTCATGTATTTGGGTGAAAGTCTTACTGTGATGGTATTTGTAAAGGCCGTAGAACATGATCCACAATCCCAAAACACCCATGAGTGTAAATCCACTTGAAAGCAGAATCTGACCAGACTGAATTTTACCACTAGAACCATTTCCTTGGTTAACAGGTGAGTTCTCACCTTAAAAGAAAACCAGAAAATGACATGATTATGCAATGCTGCTTTCTTTTCACAATTGTGCTGGTTTAATTTCTGGTCCTGAATATAATGAGAGGTTGGTGCACAATGGATGATCAACTGCTCACCGGTAATATTTATGTGCTGTTCTGATTCTCCATATGCGTTTGAAACAATACAGCTGTACATCCCGTAATCTGAGCTGGTTATGTTGCTGATGTGTAGGGTTTGGTTCCTCTCACTGAATGAGTGTCTGTGTTTCTCTAGAATGGGGACTCTTTCTCTCTTCCACATCAGCTGCAGAAATGACCCGCTCACTTCACACTTGAGAGTCACAGATGTGCTGGAGGTCTGTGAGACCACAATTTCTGTTGCATTTGGTGGGTCTTGAAATAAAATGTGTTAATGACCAAACAGATGAATTACATATGAATTATTAAGATGATATGTCTGATATGTCTTGACTTACATTGAATAATTAATGTAAAGTTTTGGGATTTTGCAGTTCCGTTTCTTCTAACTATAGTTTCCATGAAGACTCCTTCATCCTGTGCTGTCACGTTCTCCAGAATGAGGGTGTTATTGTTAAAATAGAAACGAGCCTCTCTACAGCAATCACTGTAGCATTTGGTGCCATTGGTACCATTGTTTTCATAAGTAATACATACTTGTCTTTTATTTAGTTTGGTCCATGAAACTGATTGAGTCTCTTTCTGATGAAGTGACATTCCAGTGAGTTCAACGCGACTATATAAGCCCGTCTTCACTTCACGAATTTCTTTTGCTGTTAAATCAATATGTATAGTCAGTACAATCCATAAACAGATTTAAACATTTGACTGAAAGACATTGTGAAAGAAGCGCATTCAAAAATGTATCCAAATTTACCCCCACCACCCACCCACCCACCCAAAAAAAAACAACAAAAAAAACAAACAGGTCTCCAATGTATACTCTCATGTATTCTACTATACATGGAGAATTTTCAAATTAATAATATAGCTACACTGCACAAAAAAAAAAAGCAGACACAGCAAAAGAGAAATAATCAGAGACACTTACCAAATACAGCAAATAGAAACAGGCAGACATAAATGTAACATCCAGGCATCGTAAGCCAGCAGTTAGACTTTTTGAAGCTAAATTAGCCTTTATTATAATTTGCATGTACCTTATGATGCGCTTCTATGCACTCGAAACCTCGGAGTAAAAAATAGTCACAGTAAACCACAACAGGAAAACAAAAGTGGGTGGAACAAGGAAGAAAGCAGAGCGGCTCTGATTCAGATTATCTAGTAGATGTACGCTTCATGTACTTTTAACGCAGTATATCGGACCAATAACTCGTAAAGGACAAACTTGCTATGATTCAGTTTATCATTCAAATGTAATTATATATATATATATATATATATATATAAATGGTTAAGATGTCATCCTGCTTTGTTAAATCTCCAGATGACTAGTGTTTAGTGTTGATTTGGTTTAATTCAGTATTACTTTTATGGGATATTTACAGTAAATAACTGTACTTTCTGTTATTTAACAGTATATGCCCTGTCCTTTACTGAGTTTGGATCAGCTGTTAGTGTGTAAAGTGATTGAAAACATCTATTACGGTAATATGAGGAAGTGAGCTCAAAAAGAAAACCCATCATACTCTAGTCAGCTCACTGATGTTACCCTTTAACAAGAAAAGACAAATAATTAGGCAATGGTGTAGATTTGATTATTTTGAAGACACATTTCCAGTCTGAAGTTTGAGGAAATAAGTTTTATTAAAATGCAATTGTAGTGATTATAGCATCACAACCCTGTTGTGAGAACACAATCATATGAAGAATTCATAGTGTAATAAATAAAATAGCACATAACAGAACTCAGTTGGTCACATGGCAGCTTAGAACAAAACAGGATGTAATAAAATAGGCCATGATGGAGACTTCAATCCAAAGTGAGTCTTTCTAATTCAGCAGTAGCTGTACGTGAAGCAGGCGGTGTGTCAGACTTCTGGCCCTCCGCAACAGATTTAAAGTGCTGGTCACAGGGGGAAAAAATTAGGTTATCAAAAGTACAACCTCCCAAAAAAGATGCAGCAACCATTAAACACACACACACACACACACACACACACACACACACACACACACACACACACACACACACACACAAATTAAACATTCAAAATCTTGTGTTTTCACAAAAATACTGCATAATGCAAAAAAAATACAAATAAATAAATATTTGCAGATTGTGATGGGTAGCCTATATTTAACATTTTATTTAAAGGGATAGTTCACCCAAAAATGAAAACCCTCATGTCATTCATCTTCGGAACACAAATGAAGATATTTTTGATACAATCTGAGAGTTTTCTGTTCCTCCATAGACAGCTACGCAACAACCAATTTGACGCTTCAAAAAGTTCATAAAAAGATTGTAAAACTAATCCATATGAATTGAGCGGTTTAGTCCAAATTTTCTGAAGGAACAAGAACACGAGAATGAACCTCATTGGTTCTCGCTGAAACTCAAATGTGCTGCGTAACACATCGTGAGAACCTCATTGGTTCTCACACATCAAGCGAACATGCTTGAGCTTCCGTTTACCACAACTGATGTGTGAGTTGATCAATGTTTATGTGAATAAAAGCCTAAATTCAATCTGTTCATCATATAAAGCGATCGAGTCTCTTCAGAAAATGTGGACTAAACCACTAAATTCATGTGGATTAGTTTTACGATCTCTTTATGAACTTTTTGAAGCATCAAATTGATTTTTGATCAATTTTTGATCGCGAAGCTGTCAATGGAGGGAAAGAAAGATTTGATGAAGATTTCATCAAAAAGATCTTCATTTGTGTTACGAAGATGAACGAAAGTCTTATGGGTTTGGAACGACAGGAGGGTGAGTAATTAACTAACCCTATAATATTGTAGAGCATATAAAACTAACCTGTGAGTTTTTGAATTCAGAGTAGAGTGTGAACAGGACGTGAAGTGAGTGAATTCGGTTCTTGTACACAGGGATGTCCAGGATTCCTGAGGGTACACGAACAGTCATTACAATAACCAACAAAAGCATCAAAGATGAGAATGCAAGAAACATGCAATGGACCAACTTACCACAAATAATGTCAACATAATCTGCCAAATCACAGTCAATGTCTGCTGTGGGGAGATTCACCTGGTGAACAGACCAGAAAGTGAAGAGGAACACGGTTTGATGAAGGATCATATAGCAGAACATTATTTATTCAAAAGCTAACCTTCCCCAAAAGCTCCTCAAATTCAGCTGGCCACTCTTGCATCAGGCTGTCGATGTCTGGCATGGGTCTGAAGAAATATACAAGACTGGTGTCAAGGACATTAATTAATCATAACTTACATTTCCTTTTCTTTCATGATTAACATGTATATGCCAAAGTGTGTCTGCATATGTGTCCAAATTAGCTTTTACCTAGTAACAGAGAATTATACATATGAAGAACCAATCATATTGTTGAAAAAGTATATTTTTCATGCTCCTATTCTATAAATACTTTTTTTGGGGGTGGATTCTCTGAAATTGGTCCGAGATTCTCCAGGCCATGATTAAAGCACATTCAAACGCAGCAGACTAGACTCTAGGGAGCTTACTTCCATTCTCAAGTGATTGTGTTTAGTGGAGCACTAGAGATCTTATTTTCATTTCCAAGTGAGAGTGTTCATAAAGGGCAGATTCGGAGGAAATGAAGCAGGTGTCATTTAGCTTAAGTCATAGGGGGATTTCCACCACACTGGTTACAAAATATCAGATGTTCTGCTCTCTATAGTGTTCGTGGTTGACTCATGTCAGTTCTTGCCTCGTGTAGTGTACGGTAGCTGGAGGTTTGGACCGGTGCAGCTCAGTGATGCTCTCGATCCAGTTGTCTATGGCTTTGGGGTTTTTCTCTGGGTTTTCGATGCTCTTAACTTTCACTTCCTGTGAAAGACATGTGCATCACATTCTCATTTAAACTTGCCAGGCCACAACCATCAAAGCTCTTTAAATAGTCTTCTAGTGTGCGTGTGTGGACTCACAGCGACATTGTGTTGTTTGCTGTTCTCTGACAGCCACAAGGACAGCACTGTTGGGTCTGACTGTTTAACGCATGGCTCATCTAGAACGAGGAGACCCAGATTGTCAGCCTTTCCATCCGCCCGTGGTACCTGCAGAATGCAAATAGTAAAAAAGCATATAAAGAAATTGTCAGTTGACACTTTCAAACCAGAACCACACCTGAATGTTCACTCACTTTGAGGAAAGCATCAATGTCCCCCACAGCTGGGATAAAATCAGGAATAAAGGGCTTCAGTTTGTGGTCAAGCTCTATCGTCTGAGGAGTGTATCTGAAGGAAACAGTCATTCAATAATACCAGTAAGAATCCATGAGATATCGACAACTCAAATAAGTGTGCTTCTTCAACTACAAGCATTGTTTGTTTGTTTTTCTTTTTGTCACATTATTATCACATTAAGGTCACATTATTATTGTGTATTATTTGAATATTACATATAGTATATATAATTAATTGTATTTTATACTATTCTTTTGAAGTTAACTAAATATCATTTACTGTGCATCAAGCTGTAATTTTATCAAATTAAAAAATGTGCAAATATTATTTTAATTAGCCCAGGCAAAACAAAAGAAGATTGCCATTTCTTTCATTTTGTTATGAAGGTCAAATTAAAACATTATTATTATTATTATTATTGTATTATAAAAAATAAAAAAAAATTATATATATATATATATATTCAAATTTGTAATTATATGTCTATATAATATACACTCACCTAAAGGATTATTAGGAACACCTGTTCAATTTCTCATTAATGCAATTATCTAATCAACCAATCAAATGGCAGTTGCTTCAATGCATTTAGGGGTGTGGTCCTGGTCAAGACAATCTCCTGAACTCCAAACTGAATTTTAGAATGGGAAAGAAAGGTGATTTAAGCAATTTTGAGCGTGGCATGGTTGTTGGTGCCAGACGGGCCGGTCTGAGTATTTCACAATCTGCTCAGTTACTGGGATTTTCACGCACAACCATTTCTAGGGTTTACAAAGAATGGTGTGAAAAGGGAAAAACATCCAGTATGCGGCAGTCCTGTGGGCGAAAATGCCTTGATGCTAGAGGTCAGAGGAGAATGGGCCGACTGATTCAAGCTGATAGAAGAGCAACTTTGACTGAAATAACCACTCGTTACAACCGAGGTATGCAGCAAAGCATTTGTAAAGCCACAACACGCACAACCTTGAGGCGGAGGGGCTACAACAGCAGAAGACCCCACCGGGTACCACTCATCTCCACTACAAATAGGAAAAAGAGGCTACAATTTGCAAGAGCTCACCAAAATTGGACAGTTGAAGACTGGAAAAATGTTGCCTGGTCTGATGAGTCTCGATTTCTGTTGAGACATTCAGATGGTAGAGTCAGAATTTGGCGTAAACAGAATGAGAACATGGATCCATCATGCCTTGTTACCACTGTGCAGGCTGGTGGTGGTGGTGTAATGGTGTGGGGGATGTTTTCTTGGCACACTTTAGGCCCCTTAGTGCCAATTGGGCATCGTTTAAATGCCACGGCCAAGCTGAGCATTGTTTCTGACCATGTCCATCCCTTTATGGCCACCATGTACCCATCCTCTGATGGCTACTTCCAGCAGGATAATGCACCATGTCACAAAGCTTGAATCATTTCAAATTGGTTTCTTGAACATGACAATGAGTTCACTGTACTAAAATGGCCCCCACAGTCACCAGATTTCAACCCAATAGAGCATCTTTGGGATGTGGTGGAACGGGAGCTTCGTGCCCTGGATGTGCATCCCACAAATCTCCATCAACAGCAAGATGCTATCCTATCAATATGGGCCAACATTTCTAAAGAATGCTTTCAGCACCTTGTTGAATCAATGCCACGTAGAATTAAGGCAGTTCTGAAGGCGAAAGGGGGTCAAACAGTATTAGTATGGTGTTCCTAATAATCCTTTAGGTGAGTGTAATTGTATGTATATTATAATTAATTATATTTTATAAACAACTATATTAAAGTAACATCAATAAATTATAAATAAGCAACATAAATAACATTCCCTGTGCATCAATTCCAATAAAGCTGTAATTTTATCAAATTAAAAAGTTTGAAAATATTATTTCAATGTGTTTTATTAGCCCAGCTAAAGAAAATAAGTTTGCCATTTCTTTCATTACTTATGAGTCACATAAAAACATTATTATTAGATTATTTAAAATTCTTAATTATATTAATGAATGAATGAATGAATGAATGAGGCATTTATATAGCGCTTTCATATGTACTACTGTACACCCAAAGCGCTTTACAATCATATCAGGGGTTCTCTCCTCAACCAGCACCAGTGTGCAGCATCCACTTGGATGATGCGACGGCAGCCACAGTACAACGGCGCCAGTGCGCTCACCACACACCAGCTATAGTTGGAGAGGAGAGAGAGTGATCGAGCCAATTCAGTGGATGGGGATTATTAGGAGGCCATGATTGGCAGGGGCCAATGGGTGGAATATGGCCAGGACACCGGGGTTACACCCCTACTGTATTTATATTATAGTTCATTATAATTTATATACATAGTCACTGTGAATCATTTCCAATCAAGCTATTATTTTATCAAATTAAAAAGTGTGAAAATAATATTTTATTGTGTTTAATTAGCCCAGGTAAAGAAAAAGAGTTTGTCATTTTATTAAAAACAAAACTGTAATTGTCATCATCATTTCCACCAGAGAATGCCATCAAACAATACATATTTTGAGATCTTCATGGAAGTCTAGAAAAATAAATACAAGAATGCTCCTGTGTTGCATGTATATTCACTGTTAGACATTGTTTAGCTGGGATTTTGTGTTTAGAGTTTGTTTTTCTTTTTAATGTCCACAGGGCCAAAAGTGCTAGTTAAAGAAACATTCATTTGCAGTGTAAGAGGGTTAAGGGTCAGTTTCTCTCTGCCAATTTCTTTCTCTTCATTTTGTATGTCCGTGTGTTTCGTGTGCAGTTCCAAATCAAGTGGTTTGAAGTTGTTGCATGCTCACCGAGTGATGTACTGAAATAGCTCTTTGATCTCGGCTGTGACAGGAAGATGTTCATAATCGGCAGGGTCATATGCACTGTGAGGAGTCACACACACACACCATTATTTTAAAATAAAATAGCTTGTTGTTTTGAGTAAATACTGTAACTTGCTTTTAGTACTTTTGTTAAACTGAAATTTTACATTTGCATCTTCTTACGCACAGCTAGCCCACTTCCTTACTGTATATCTGATTTTGGCCTATCTGTATATTTCCCCTTGATATATTTTCTCATTAGCTAAAAGTAAATGAAACATTAATGCCGGGCAGTAGACTGTGTGCAGGTTTACGGCTCTACCCTTCTGGAGCAGATCCAGGCTCCCCTTCCTCCTCATCAGACTCTGTGTCATCAGAATCATCATCGTCATCATCATCATCATCTTCTTCTTCTTCCTCCTCCTCATCATTCTCGATAGTACCGTGAGCACCAGGTGGCGGCTCTTTCTTTCTCTGCGGTCAGATGAAAGGTCAGGTCAATAAAACCTCATTTTAAGCATTCATGAAAATGAGCCAGTTAACTTTAATCTTACTTTAGTGTCCTCTTCTAGTTTCTCACCAGCATAACTGGCCATGGCGCTGAGCTTCTGCCTGCCTGCCCTCCTGGAAACTGGCATGAGGAAAAAAACAGTTGGTGAATGGGAAGGCAAAATATAAAGTGGTTAATAAAAGTGGTTTAGATGCGTCACCTCTCTGTCGTGGGGATGGTGTGTGAACGCTGGCGGCCTCGTCTGCGTTCACGTCAAAACTCTCGTCGAATGGCTGGTTGGTTGTGAGTTGAAACTGATTGAAGAGTTATTTGAACTTTAGTTTGTACTAAAACTGGGTCTCTAGGAACCTATAGAGCTGCCTCCCCAGACTTAATTTTGAAGAGACATAATGATACACAAAAAGCTGCTGACTCAGAACACTTCTATGATGCACTAAAAATGCTGTCTAGTCTAGGTAACGTTAGGCAGCATATCTCGTTTAGAGATAACGTTAGAGCCTATGAAGTAGGCTAGGCTTTTCCAGCGGGCTTGGCTGTTTCGCTTATGATGAGATTTATGGTAGTTTTAGGAAGCAACTATTTCGTAACTTCATGACATGTGGTGAAATATTTAGAGAAAATGTGTGACAAACATTCTGGAATAACAATGTTTTACTGCAGCTCAGGGTTTAACTCTCGCGCTAACATTGATTCAGTGTCCGTCTCATTTTTGAGGCAAAAAATAAATCGCAATAGCATGTTGTATACATTCTTACATAATGTACTATGGTATCAACGACTAAATTAATGAGATTTGCGCTACAATAACAAACCTTTTGTCGCTCAGACCTCTCCATTAAAACACCGTGTATTGTTGCCAAGGAAACTTGTTCTCGCGAGATGTTCAGCGGAAGTGCGTGAAACATCAGTTTGTCAGACGCACTGGTCTATTTTTATCAGATTTTAGACGCATTTTATTTCTATGCCAGAAGAAGAGTCGCATTATTAACAACTTTAGCTGCCAGAATAATAACATCAATTTCAGTGTTTTTCAAACATTACATGTTTTCAGCGCGTTTTGTTTTTAGTTTGTTCCAAAAGATCAATTTAAATAGTCATTTATAAAATATAGGAAATTTGGTTTGCGACGAGCCCACTTTTTGTGTAACGTTATTGCATTTGCCAAATAAAATATATAATTGCATAATGCCACTCTGAATGAAAAGAAACATCAACTAGACAAATTTCTGTTAATATTAGATTCTAAATCCTTCCAAAATAATGTTGAGAAAATGCAATAATTAAACAAATGCACTGGGGAAAAGAACAGAAAAACTAAAAAGCATTAGCACTGTAGCTAGGAGGACATAACATTTACTATTTCAATGACCTATTCTCTTCATGCTTGTTTTTGTCTGTAACACCGACAATGAAAATGGCTGAGATTCGTGATTTGAGACACAGAATTAAGCAGAGCTTCAGAAAACGGTCATTGGTTTCATAAACATACTAAAAATATATCAACCATCAACAATGCTGATGATAGGGGAACTCTTCACTAGCTAGGGGACAGCATTCCCAAAGTTTATCCTGTTTCGACATATCAAGCCATGGTGCTTTTGCGGGTGAAACAGGTTCTAGTTGCAAAAATGTGATTTGGTTTTGAAAATAATAATCAGAGTTGAATAAATTCAGACATACAGCAGTTACAGCCGTGCCATGGATCAGCTCTTGTGAACAGGATGTGGTTGCCTCTTTTCTGGCTGGTTCAGCTGTTTAACGTAGCATATTACTTCTAACCCCCCAAATCGCTTTAGAAAACCTGAAACTATTCGTGGTGGGTGTATTTGTGGAAATTTGCTTCGTTTTTTTGATATGCATCTTTTACGCATATTTTCACATGCTGTACGCACTTGCAATGTAAAATGCTGTGTAAATATTTCATTTTTATTAATTCATGACAAATCTCAGACATCTGAGATGTGTAAATACAACAAAATCAATGATAATGTTTTACATTTATTAATGACTCTTTCACAGGCATTTGATTATTGTTGATTAATTGCTTTATGTGCAGTAATGAGTGGCTGAAATACTGATTAAATATTATACATAAATTATCAAGGGATGCAAAATAAAGCCTGTGGCAGCTGGTTTAAAAGCTAGAAAAGATCAAGCTTGAAAAGGCCCTAAAAAGCGACTTCCTGCATCTTACTGTCAACCACAGCGGTTATGATATTTTCCTCTTTATGCTTATCTGATCTTGCAGACTAGACAGATGGAGAGATTCTGCACGAGCTGTGAGTTGCAAAGTTTAATCTGGATTTGTTCCAGCGATGTTAAAGTAGTGTAGAGCTGTTTCTGGAGCAAACCAAGAGTCAGATATCAGACCCTAGACCAGCAATTCGTTTAAAGTGTACTCCAGTCCAGCTCTCAAACATTCCTCTTGGTGTTAATGAGCAGATCTCTGTTGAATTCAGCCTCCAGATTCCCAGCTCCACTCTTTCCTCCAGGAGGATCCGTTATCAGAGTGAGTTTGTTAAACACTCCACGGCCAAAATAATCAGCGATGACTGAGAAGCCATCATTAGAGCATTTCAACTAAGAGAGAGAGAGAGAAAAAGACCATTTAATTCTATCCAACTTTTTAGATCAATTCAAAACTGCAGGGGAAAAATCAGCACCTGTCTGTGGAAATGGTCATGCAGGTCTCGTTTCTGATCTTGGGCACGCAACATGTCCATCACCTTCCTGTTCTCGGGGGTGCAGGTGGGGCACTCGGCCTCACTCTCAGCGAAGCTCTCTAAACAGTGCTGGTGGAAGGAGTGTCCACACAGGAAGTGCACAGATGGCAGCTCTAGCGGGCTGTTACACATGCTGCACTTGGTCTTCTGGAAGATCTTTGCACTGAAAAAGCAACGTGAGCAGCTTACTCCGCATACTGCGATACTTGATTCTGACTGATCAATTGTGGCATACATTTTTTATGCCATTCAGAAATAAATGAATCAACAGGTGCGGCCAAATTCACGTACTTATGCACTATTCTATGCCATTTTGTAGTATAAATGGTATGTTCACACTGAAAATCTCCAAAAGAAAAAGTGCACTTTAAACACCCGGACAATGCACTTAATTAACTGAAATACAAAGTGTGGAATGTTGAACACTTCATGCTCTCAACTGTCGCAGAGGGGAAGTGGCTATAAGAGTCTGATGTTGAATGACAAAATAACCTTATAAAATTCATACACCTCACGGCTGGTCATTTGGCACAGCTCTTGTTTCACTCACCAGGTTTTGAGTTCCTTTATCTCAGCACGTAGATGGGTCGTCTCCTCTCTATACTGTTGAATCTTCCTTTCGTCTTCCTCAATCTGCGAGGTCTCCCTCTCAAGTTTATTTATCAGGTAGTCTTTTATGACTGACAGAGATGCTGTGGAATTATGGGCCAAAGTCTGCACCACTGCAACACAGACACTCACATAAGGTCTAAATGATGATGAACGATATTGCAAACGCTACAATTATATGATCTGGAGTTCATCGAAAGGTTAAGAGTCGGTCAAGAACATTCTGTCATCATGATGACCTTCTTCTGCCTTTTTCAAGACACATTACTTACCCAGAAGAGGAGGCATCAGGTTATTTTCATCAATGTGCTGCAGGACTTCACTAATGTAGGCCTTGCAGTTCTCTTCTTTACGTGCAAAATAGCCTAGCGCCTGTTCCCACAAACACACCTCGTTGTCACCATAGCGCTTACAGGCCTCCACAACTTTCCCATACTCTTCATTCTGCATGTGGTAATGCATGATCTGTTGGTACCTGCAGAAACAAACAGTTCTGTCACTATTAATCCTTTGCTTTTATTAGATTAAAGGTAAATGTAATGTAAGTTTGCAGTAGAGCTGCACAATTAATCGTTAAAAGATTGCAATCTCGATTCAAACACCCATGTGATCTTATTCCTAAATGATAACGATTTGGCTGTGTCTATTAAACCTCAAATCTGTGTTGGCGCTGCCGCTGACCCAGAGAAAGCAGTTATAATGTACAGGCTACAACAACTTTACAGTCTTTCAACATCACAGTGTTTATTACAAATATTCAAATTATCACAGACTGGGATAAAAGTTTATAGTTCAGATATAAACACTGATGTCTACTACGGTAGCGATCAAATAGAGCAAATCACCTTTTGAAAGTAACTTGAAGCTTCAAATAAATAAAGATATACCTATACCTGTTATAAAGTTATACCTGTAGGTGGCGACAAGTGACTTAAAACAATTATTTGTCATTGAATCATTCATTCAAGACATTGTTCAAAAACCCTGATTCATCCAGTATCGAAACAAGGGAAGTCTTTATGGGTGAGTCATTGAATCACTCGATTTAAAAAAAAAAAGAATTAATTCAAATTAATTAAATAGACTGCAGTAATTAACATTTTGTCATAATCTCTAGTAAATGGCATGTTATTTTGGAGGGGTTTTTTTTGTGCAGAATCGTGGAAGAATTGTGATCTCTATTTGAAACAACAACAAAAAAAATCATCAATCTTAATTTATCCATAATCATGCAGCTCTAGTTTGAAGTCATTAAAGGAGTTCAGTTTGTAATTTTTGTCTGTTGTCACATAAAGCTATCCACCTTATTTTTAACGCAAGAAAGGTCACAGCAATTTGTAACTTGAATGTGCGAGGCTTTTGGTGTCATTTGCTTTCAGTTATTTTAGCTGTACAAAACAGTTTATTATGCTGCTTTATATAGCAAACTGGTGTTTATCATAACATTTTAATTCTTTATCATAAACACACTGGTTTGTAGCACAAGTTTTATGCACAAGTTAAATGGTAAATAGTTTTACCATTTACTTCACTTTGCTATTTTTCAAGTTATTGATCTATATCAGCTAATGCATCGGAAGTCTCGAACAATTACACAAAGTAGCTTACTTCCATGTTGCAAAATAAGGTGGCCTTAGAAGTCAGGTAGATAACTTTCATAGCACTTTCTGAGTAAGTGAGATTGACAGTGATAAGAAATGAGAAAAATCGCTTACAGTTTGCCCTTTTCATACAGATACAGCACTCCTTCCTTGAAGTTGTGCATCTGGCAGAGCACCAGGGCCTTGTCAAACACAGTGTTGTCACTCCTCAAAAGCGACAGTGCTGCCTCCTGCAGGACCTTCTTCTTCTGTCGGAAAGACAGAAAGAGAGATGAGTTTCCTATATGCTTTCACAACAGCATGTGTACAATCAATCAGAACTGAATACTTTTTTCTAGGGATGCACTGATTCTGGCCAATGCAAATAATATTTTCATGTTATGGCTGATATTTATAATTCCATGTTATCTAAATTAATTGAAAATGAACAGTAAACGAACAGTAAACAAACACTAAAAAAGTCAAATTAGTCATTTTATATGCTACAAGTGAATTTAAACATATTACAGTACAAAATGTACAGTACAAAAAATTGTAAGATTGCATTTAATAGTGTTATTAAACTATTGTTTTTACATTTTAAATGAGTGTTAGATAATGGGAATGACCATCAAAATGTAAAAATAAGTGAAATGAGCTTGCACAATTAAATATCCGATACAAGCCAAATTTATGCAAATAAATTTGACTATTTTGTAATATCAGCCAATATTTTATGCTTCCTTTTTTCTTTTCTTTTCTTTTACATTTTCCATGTAAAAAATTGTAAACATTCAATTTGGGTGGTGATGAGTCAAATTCTTCAAAAATCTTTAGAGCTGCAGACGCCTTCTATAATAACATAATAACATGAGGTATGTGTAGCAATTGTATAAAGCATGTTTTTACCCCTGGGTCCTGTTCATGTGCCCAGTCCTGTAGTCTGAGCTCTAGTAGAGTGTCATAAACTCCCTCAGGAGAGAACGGATCAACCTGAATCATGTGTTCCAGGAACGCTCGCAGCTCTCTTGGGTTATTGGCAAACACTGGGATGAACTCCTCTGGATTGGCCTGTCAAAAGAAAATTTTGAGATAAAAGGTCATCTGGTGTAACTCATTGTTCTACCGAATCTCTGATTATTTGCTATTGCTAATCTAAATGAATTACCTTGTTTTCCACAGGCCTATCCAGACTGTCCCGGTCGGTTGAGTCTTTGCTGGGGTGATAGTCGGTGCAGAGACGTTTTAAGAGGATAGTGGTGCTCTCAGGCACATGGTGCATTAGTGTTTTACCATAACGCTTCATATTACTCTCCGCCTGATCAAATGGCAACCTTCCTATGTAGCGCAAAGCCTCCTGATAGTTCTGAAAGTGTAACAAAAAAAAGATTTTTCAGGCAAGAACAAGGCAGGGCTAATTTTTGGTGGAAATTTTTTTTCCACCAAAAATAAAATATAATAAAATAGGTTCATAAAATATTGGCTTACATAAACTCACTGAAAAGCATTAGTTATGTGTCATAATTCATATCATAGCCCAAAAATGCTGTATTCACCTTCAAATCCTCTAGCTGGATCTTCAAATACCATTCATGGTGCATGTGTCTCTCTGCCAGAAACACGGCGTGACTGTGATAACCGGCCTGACGTAACACCTTGATGGCGATTTCAACATCGAAATGCACCTCACTTTCATTGCTCTACATTCATAGGAGGGGTGCAGAGTATAAAAAGCATTGTTAGTGGTCAAGGCTTTTTTTTTTTTTTTAAGTCTAAATGCACATTCACAGCAATGGTTTCCAGCATAAGTGATTTTTTTCTACAGACCTTTATGAACTCTTCCAGCTTAGAGCTGTCCTTCAGTTTGGTGTAACAGTTCAGCAGTAGAGTAGTGTGGTCAGCATTGGCCAGGGACTGCCTGTGGAGGGCCTGTAGGTACGCCGTCAGGTTATGTATCCTCTGTGCATCCAAAAACTTACGAATTACGTACGAGGGTTCGAGCTTCCCAATGGTGCTGAGAAGGTGATGATGTAGCCATGAGAAACAGCTTTCTTGTTTACCGTTTTACATGAAATGTACAAGTAGAAATCTGAACTGCACACCTACCGAATGTACTGTTGAATGGCTCCATCGTGATCCCCTTTGGTATAGAGATGGTCTCCATAATGTCTGAATATCTCAGACAGACCATCATTGTCCAGGTGTTGACTTTTAGCCAAATTAATGGCCATCACAAACAGGTTCTTCTTAAACAGCATCTAAGTAACACAACACATATAAGCTTTTGTTAATAAATAAATATGTATCATAAAGGATAATATTATGGACAATTATAATTGTGAATAATGTTGAATTGACAATAATAATCACATTTATTATAGTTTTTGAATTGTACATTTAGTTTTTTATTTTCAATTTAGTTCAGTTTTTGTTTAATCTATATAATTATATATAGTATAGTTAGTTATAGTTGATTCTTTCAATATATTTCATTTGTATTTTAATTTAGTGTTTAAGGGCTGCCAGTAATGTGTGAACAAATAAAGTGTTTTCAACATTGATAATAAGAAATGATTCTTGAGCAGCAAATCAGCATATTAGAATGATTTCTGAAGGATCATGTGAGACTGAAGACTGGAGTAATAATGCAGAAAATGAAGCATTAGCATCACAGAAATATAAATTACACTTTAAAATATTTATTAAAATACAAAACCTTTATTTTAAATTGTAATAGTAATATTTCACAATATTACCGTTATTGTATTTTTTATCAAAGAAATGCAGCTTCTTTCATTAACATAAAAACACCAAACTTTTGTATGGTAGTGTATATAACATTTTACTTCAGGTAACAGAAAAAAAAAGATTCCTTTAATGATAATAACACTGTACTAACCTCTAGCTTGGTCTGTGTGTCTTTTTCTTGCAACATATACATTGTTTTATCCCTTGTTAGGACATAGAACGACCCCCATTCTGCCAGAACGTCAATGACATCATCAAACGCCGCACTGTAAGCGATGAACTTGTTGTCCAGGTCGTAAATGGTCAGGATGTGCTTTTCTGTAGGGGATGTCTGTCTGCTACCATAATCAGATCTGTACAAATGAAATGTAATAAATATGAATGCATATTAAAGTACAAATCTTAAAGCAAAAAAAAAAAAAAAATTAGTCTTACTTGCTAGGTGACTTGTTATTGTGCGTGAGCAGCAGCAGGTATCCTCTGTGCCACTGAGTTAGAAGCTTGTGCCCATCAAATGCGAAACAGGGTCCTCTCTCGTCAGGCTGGTACAAATACACACAGTCCTCTCCAGCCACTATGAACTGCGAGTCCTGCGAGGGGTCTGTGAGCGCCGAGCAGCGCAGCGCACAGCCGTGAGTGTCCAGGTCTATACGAGGGTACTCTTTCACTGACAATGTGTAACACTGTCAACGTAAAAATATTCCTGCATTCAGTTCTGTATACATTTACATCTGCTTTCATTACAAAGGCAGGATATAACATTCCATACGGCTAAAACGTACCTGCACTTTTTCTAAAGTGGCGACAAACAGGTGTGTGACTTTGCCGGCCTGTCGGAAAGCCAGGCCTGTGATTGGACAGCTGCCCTCATGGAGGCTGAGGGTTTTACTGTGTCTGTCTCTGGTGATGTCACCCTTTGTCAGCACAACACTGCCATCTGTAAAACCTGAGCATTTAACACAGATATTAAAAGCAACATAAAATCTAATTTGGTATTTGGGAATGTATGCTCACTTTTCACAATCCAATCAATTATTGATGGATAAACTCCCGTCCCAATCAACACTTTTTCCCTACTATATTTTCTGTTTCACTCTGAAATGCATCATATTACAGAAAGAAATGGGTTGCAAATGCCATTTAGTGTTCAATTTAATCATTGAAATGATTCACATATTCGAAGGGATTTCAAGTTATATTTACATAGTTTTAGAAAACCAAAATATAATAAATGTAACTATTATTAATTAGTAAACAATTGTTTACTTTTGCAACATTAAAGTACAGTATTTAATTTGCTTTATTATTAGCTGCCCTCTAAAATCAACTTTTTTTCAAACAGTATATAAATACAAATACTCGGTTCAATTAATTTTTTTAAGAAACGTGGACTAACAATTGTGATGTGTTATTTAAGTATAATTGAGATACTATTATAGTTTTATTCATATTTAGATTTAGTAAGTAATTTTGCTGTGTTTTTGTCAGTTTTGTTTTTTTAAATGTCTATATAGTTTGTTTCTTTTTTATTTCAGATTGAGTTATTTAGTACATCAGATAATTTAGTACATCAAGTTAAACTAAATTAAAAGGAGAAATGTTACCTTTTTATTGCAAGTAATGAAAATGGTTTTATTATGGTTTTAGTTACTATAACAACTCTGATTTTTTGTTAAACCCTGTCTATTTAACCCTGATATGAAATTAAAAGCTCCTACCTATAGCCATGAAATTAAGATTTTCATGTACACTGAGACAAGACACTTCAGTGGGTTTGTTTCCAGGTATGGCAGGGAATATCCGGGTACACAGAGGACTGCCACTGTCCTTCTTATCAAGGTTCCACACCTTCACCTGATGAACAGACACATACACACACACTCTCTAAATCAGCTTACATTTCAAAAGCACACAGAGACCAGCACTTGCATTGACATGCAGCTTCAGCAGCTGCAGACACCTGTGGTGAATCTTACCAGAGGATTGATGCCATGCTCATCCTGACCCACTGACACCAGGATGTTGTGTTGTTTCAGCTGGTACAGGTGTGTCACGCGCAGTTTATAAGCCTGAAAGTTGGACAGCTGCAGGGAGCGGGTCAAAAACCAGATCTGTCCATCCATATGTGCAATACATGAGTTAAAGAAAACACGCACATATGGCATACCTGAAATCGCCATAATCAGCTAGAAAGTGTTGACTGTTGGACTTATGAATAAATTCAAGGAAACACGTACGTCAAGCATAAGCGATTACCCGTTTTACAAAGCAGGGTTGCCACAGCCTAAATGATACGATGACTTAGGCGACTATAATTATGAAATGCACTTGGTATTATTGTTTAACAGTGCCATAATTGCTAGCTAGCCACAAGAATGACTTCAGCATTATAAAAGGATATCTCCAAGCACAATGTGTCCTCGACCTGAATCACAGGCTGATATACCCATCGGTAGTTGGAAATTTTTTCCATTTTCACTCGGATCTTTCACCGTTTCTTTATCAAAAAACACAAATCGTCTCCACTGTAAGAACGCTGCCATTTTCCAAGCAGTTCTTGTTTAGCAAAATCATGTGACTCACATCACGGTCATGTGACTTGTGTCAGGACTCAGGATATTTTTGTTTCTGTTATAAATCTGTATTCGCACTCATATTTTAAGGTTTGAGTCTTGACACAGCAGCACGCTATAAATCAGTTTGATTTAAGTACTTTACATTTTAATCTAATTTGAAATTTAAATGTAAATTAAATAATTTATGTTTTTTAAAACAAAGTACACACAAAACAGAATTAAATATGTGATTTAAGTGGGCTCTTTTGAAAGTTAGAATAAAAAACGACCCAAAGACGTAAGAAAAAGTTTCCCGATGATCCGTGAATGAACCGTTCTTCTTTGAAATTGTATTTGCTGTTTTGGAAAGAAAGAACCGTTCTTTTGATTCGGATCTTTTCAGTGAATCGTATGAACAATTCTTCGTAAACAAATCCAGTTCTTGGGTCAACAAAGCATGAATGAGCCGGTTTAACAATTCATCTCGTTAAACCGAGAACCGTCCCTTTCTTATCGTGGTGGGGCAAAAACTCAGTGTCCTGTAAATAGGATATGTTACAAGCAAAACGCACATACGAGGTTTAATACATGTCATTTTATTTTTTACCTTAATTGGAACGTAATTAACAGAAATATGTCCTACATATAGCTCTATTGGACCGTTTTGCAACATTTAATATAAGCAACGAATGAAACGAATCGGTGTTATGTATCTTTAAAAGGAAATGTTCAAAATAAAAAATAAAAATTCTCGGAAATGATTCGGACTCCCATCGCTAGCACTAAAAACTACAACCTGTCGCACAGTTCGCACAGCCGTTATGGTCTAACAGAGGGTCTCCTATTTAACGTGGACCAATCAGATCTATGCTTACTTACACGACTAACCACTCGCATACACTGGTTGGCACGTGGACCAATCAGCGCGCTCCATTCAAGGGAAAAGGGGTGGGGCTTTCGATCATGGCGATCAGCGCTTCACTCGGCGAGCAGCGAGTTGTGTGGATCCAATGAGATCACGCCGCGTTCCGGGCCCAATGTGTTAGAACAAGCCGGTGATTGCAAGAGCAAAATCAAGCAAGCGAGGTGGTCTGGTCAGAGAGCATTGCTGGTTAATGCGATCATATTGTCATCTGTAAGGAATTATATTAAGGATCAACACAGGAAACTTTTGGTTCAAAATTAGGGCAGGATAAGCGTTTCTAAATATTGTTGTTCAGGTGTCAAGAGAGATTTATCAGTCAACAAGAATCAATATAAAACTTGATCTGGCAGAAGGTAAGTGCCATGCCATCACTTTCTTTGTTGGAAATGTTTGTGATCATCTGGGTGGTTGCATGTGTTCATAGATTAGTCTACTATATTACATTTAGCAGATCATCAGCTGCGTTTACTTATGTTAGAGCCTTTTGAAAAGAAGAAGGTTTAATGTTAACTCCACATTATCAAGCAGTGCAATGACAGTTTGACATGATGCTTAGCACCATTAGGATCAGACAGCTTCAAAAAGGCTTACGTCACACAGGCTGTGCAACTAGAAGTTTCCTCTTTGCATTTTTGAATCAGTATTTAAAATAGCCAATCGAGAGAGAACTGTGTTGTAAAAATGATGTAACCATAATGTAAAAAAAAAACTTTAGAACATATTAAGTAATGTTCCCATGGTATTCTGTATGTACCTGGGCCCCTAGTGTATCTTTATTAAGCAGGAACGATCTACAAAAGTGGTTTCCAATGTTGTTCCATTTCAGGTTTTGTGGTTCTCTACTACAGAGAGAACTACTATTGGTTGAATCAGGTGTGTTTGATTAGGACATCCAAAATGTACTTTTGGGGGCCTCCAGGAACAGGTTTAAGAGCCACTGCTCTACACTACAGTATTGAGATCCATGTGCTCTCAGGCTTTGTCTCAGACTTGTGGGTGGGATCCTATCAAATCAGCATGTACCTATCCATACCTGTCACTGGCTGACTGTGTCCACCTACACATCGATCCATATATGGCGCTTGGGCAGTTTTTCATATCAGGGTCGTGATGCAATACTGTCCAACTTGTGTGCTTTTGATATACTTTCTGGTTTATGGTACAGACCTGTCACAGGTGCAGTTGTGTCTTTTAGCTTAATTTTAACTGAATGCTTTAAACCAGTTTTTGAATCTTCTCTGCAGGTCACAATGAGGGAAAGGCTGTCATTATGGGCTGTTTTTTGCCTAATAGTAGCGTTCCTGCCTTCTCAAACAGGTAAGCACCATATAAAATGATGGTTATATTCTTATATTTGCTGTACGTTTCCAGTGCTGATGTTCATCAGGATGAATTTAAAGACCTGTTCAAACCAAGAACGATAACTATAAAGATAGATAACTATAACGATATCTATATTATTGTCCACACTAGTGCACAGAATCGTTCGGTTTATTATATGCATGTGCTGTAGTTATGTCGTCCGCCACTTTAAATGCTCAAGCTCTAAAAGAAATTCACCCAAAAATGAAAATTCTGTCATTAATTACTCATTTCATTAAAAAAAACCTGTAAGACTTTCGATTATCTTTGTAACACAAATGAAGATGTTTTTTTCAGAGGCTTTCTGTCTCTCTATAGACAGCTACGTAACAACCACTTTGACGCTTCAAAAAGTTCTCAGAGATCGTACAACTAATCCATATATTAATTGAGTGGTTTAGTCCACATTTTCTGAAGAGACTTGATTGCCTTATGATGAACAAATTTATTTTTGGCTTTTATTCACATATAAACATTTATCAACTAACTGAATTTATTTAAACAGAAGCTCAAGCATGATTGTTTGAAGTGCGAGAACGAATAAGTTTAATTCTTGTGTGTTACGCATCACGTTTGAGTCAAGCAGGTTCGCTTGAGCTTCTGTTTATGTATGTACGCTGATGAATGTTTATATGTGAATAAAAGACTCAATTCAATCTGTTCATCATATAAAGCGATCAAGTCTCTTCAGAAAATTTGGACTAAACCGCTCAATTCAAATTGATTAGTTTTAATATCTCATTATGAACTTTTTGAAGCGTCAAAGTGGTTGTAGCGTAGCTGTCTTTGGAGGGACAGAAATATCTTAGATTTCTTCAAAAAGACCTTCATTTGTGTGCCGACAATGAACGAAAGTCTTGCGGGTTTGGAATGACATAAGGGTGAGTAATTAATGACAATTTTGATTTTTAGGTGAACTATCCCTTTAAAAGCAGGATGAATTATTTTACATTTAAAACAATTCTTAAAACTAGGCCTATATCTCTTTATCGTTTTAGTTATTGTCTTTGGTGTGAAGATGCCTTGAATCTATCAAGATGCATATAAACATGCATTTTTATTTATTTATTATGGGTTTCTTTACTTATCCCTGATCAGAATTTCAGCTCTCTGATATTTTTGTGTTGCAGAATCCGTGGCTGTGATGTCTGTGGACTTGGGCAGTGAGTGGATGAAAGTTGCTATAGTGAAACCCGGTGTGCCAATGGAGATTGTACTAAACAAGTATGTTTTGGAACAGAGTGAAACTTTTTGCAACAAAATCAACAGATCTTGTCAAGTGATTTAGATTTATTAGTTTCAGACAGCAGTTTACTCCGTTGTGACATTTAGCTTCTTTGTGCAGGGAGTCCCGGCGGAAAACACCAGTCGCTGTGTGCTTAAAGGAATACGAGAGGCTTTTTGGAGACAGTGCTTTAGGAGTGGTGAGTCTTTGTACTCCATAATACCTTCTGTAAAAGTCAACATGAAGTGGCGGTTGCAATGTATTTAATATAACTTATAATGTGACATTTAAAAATTAAACATGAAATTCAATAAAAAAACAATGGAGGGTGTTACTTGATGGTAATTCTGGTATGAAATGTCCACTTTAAATTCCTGATTTCTAAAATAATTTTCACCACCATGCCCTTCTTTTGATGTCAGCTAGGAAGAAAAGTTATTGCGTATAAACGTTTTTACTTATTTTTTAAAGATTACATTGATAAACATAACGTGCATATACACTACCATTTAAAAGTTTTGGGTCAGTAAGATTTTTAATGTTTATGATGCTCATCAAGACTGCATTTATTTGATCACAAATACAGTGGAAACATTAATATTGTGAAATATTATTACAATTTGAAATGACTTATTTCTGTTATAATATACAATGCAATGGAATTTATTCCTGTGAATTTTCAGCATTATACTCCAGTCTTCAGTCACATGATCCTTCAGAAATCATTCTAATATGTTGATTTGATGCTCAAGAAAAATGTATTATTGATGATGAAAACTTCCTGGATTTCAAAAGAACAGCATTTATTTGAGATCAAAATATTTTGTAAAATAAGTGTCTTTACTGTCACTAAATAGAAGTATCAATTTCTTAAAAAAAAAAAAAAAAGACTGACCCCGAACTTTTGAACGAGAGTGCATGACTCAAAATAAGACCAGGAACAACAGGCCTGTAGATAGTCCATTTTGAATACGTTGATTAAAAAAATCTGAGTAGCATGAAAAAAATCCCTTCACATTTTCTTAATCTCTAAAACCTTGTTGCAGCATTTGTGACAAGCTTTGACTCTAGCATACTTGAATCATGACAGGCTGTGAAGAACCCCAAGGTGGTTTACAGATTCCTCCAGAGCATTTTGGGAAAGACAGCAGACAACCCACAGGTGGTGCAGTATCTGAAACACTTCCCTGAGCACCAGCTGGAGAGAGATGAGAAAAGAGGAACCGTTTATTTCAAATTCTCAGAGTAAGTATTGAAACACTTGCTTGGTGCGTTAGCTGTTACCAATGGGTTTTATATAATTTCTGGGAATATCTTTTCATCTAGAGAGATGCAGTATACTCCAGAGGAGCTTTTGGGCATGATGTTGAACTACTCTCGGGTTCTGGCTCAAGACTTTGCAGGTTTGATAATGAGTGTTTCGAATAGTTCAGCTGTCTTGGTTTTTGCAGGTTAGGATATTTGACCAGACCGATAATTGTATTTGTTTTTCTCTTAACAGAGCAGCCCATAAA